AGACCCACAGAACAATAAATTCAGGTTACATAAAAATTACTGACTTCTGGATTAAACTTCATTCCGCTGGAATGAAGCTAAGTGTTCTCTCTCTCTCTCTCTCTCTCTCTCTCTCACACACACACTCAAAGGGTAATAACCTCAATAAAGGGTTCCAAAGTAAAATATCCATTACAGAAGAAAAAAATCCATAGGCTATTAACCACAAGCTAAAGAGACATCCCATTGTTTTAATAATTTGGTAAATATTATAACGTTGGACATTGCTAAGTATTAGGAGACTGAAAACAGTTGTAGGCGTCAGCTCTACTGGTGGAACGAGGATCTAAAATAAACTTTCTGGAAGAACAATCTGGGATGGAACCCAGGTCAACTGCATGCAAGACAAAGGGACCTCCACTTCTTTTTATTTTTTTGGCAGTGCTAGGGATCAAGGGCTGGAGTGATAGCACAGCAGGTAGAGCATTTGCCTTGCCTGCAGCCGACCCAGGTTCAATTCCTCTAACCTGGGTTCAATTCCTTTGTCCTACTCGAGAGCCTGGCAAGCTCCCTATGGCGTATTTGATATGCCAAAAACAGTAAGAAGTCTCACAATGGGGACATTACTGGTGCCTGCTTGAGCAAATCGATGAACAACAGGAGGATAGTGCTACAGTGCTACCTACATAAACAACTACCATCCTTAAAAACACTTTGATGTATCTTGTAAAGGATGTCAAATGCATAGTACTGTGAACAAATTTTACTGAAACATTAGCCAGAAGCAATAAAATTCCGTATCATCTAGAAATATTTTATAGGATCACAGAGCGTTCAAAGGTAACTCTAGGTTTGATCATTGGTATAATCATTCAAGCACCAGTGGGAGTAAGAACCATGCTAGGAGTAACAGCTAACATTCTTGTGTACTGAGATATAGCAAACTTCCAGTATACATACTTATTCACTACACTGTAGCAACCATGTTGTATATAAGGTCCCCAGAACTTACAAACATATCACCATGTTCACCATCTACAGGGAACTACTGTACTCTTTGCAACTGAGCTTGACTCTTGGACTCCACATGTAAGTAAGATCACAAACATTTCTCTCTCTCTCTCTCTCTCTCTCTCTCTCTTTTTGCTTTTTGGGTCACACCTGGCAACACACAGGGGTTACTCCTGGCTTTGCACTCAGGAATTACTCCTGGCAGTGGTCAGGGGACCACATGGGATGCTGGGAATGGAACCTGGGTCTCCTTGTGCAAGGCAAATGTCCTACCTGCTGTACTATCGCTCCAGTCCCAGAGATAATAAACATTTCTATTTCTCTGAATGGCTTACTTCATTTGCAGAATTTCCTTCTTTCCATAAGACTGAATACTCAATCATATCCATATATGAGATACATACACACACCTTAATCTTTGACCCACACAGGCTTAGGTTGTTTCTCTATTGTGACTACCGTGAATTATGCTTGCAATAATCACAGAAGCACAACTATCAACTGTATCTTTGAAATAAAGTTTTAATTTTCTTTAAATATCTACCCCAAAATGGGATTGGTGGACCATACTTTAAGTTTACCTTCATTTTTTGTGGAACCTCCATACTTTTCACTATATAGTTCTATGAACTTAGTCTCATTAATACCTAAGACTTCCTTTCCTCTACATCTTTGCAAACACGTATCTTTTAACGTTTTTAACTCTTTGAATCAACTGAAAAATTTGATGAGTCATTTGAAAAACTGACTTATTTGCTAGTTTTGCTAATGTTGTCTAAGTTTCTTACGTATTTTGAACAATATCAACATTTTTGGTGTTCTGGTATTTGGCGTGCAACTATACCCTCCCATTCCAAAAAACTCTCCTTTAATTGGAAACTTTAACTTTAAAATTATTTGTAATAAAAAATATTTGTAATCTATTATCTTAAAATTTCCCCCAGTTTATTAAGTTTGGAAAAAAAATACTGAGCTAAACATACGATTAAGCCTAAACTAAGCTAATCAAAATAGTTATGGCGACCTCTGGTGGCCATATACAATTTCTTTCTGTATTTTATTTGGCTCAATTATTTATAAGATAAACCAGCCAAATAAAATACAAATAAATTCTTAGTAAAGGAAATAAAACAGACTTCACAATCCATCTAAGCAACAAAGGTAGCAAGCATTGAAAGCAAAGGGATGAGCAATTAATGTTTACAAAAGAGAACTTTGAAATATTAGCTAGCTTTATCTCTTAATTTAACATTTGACCAGCTGACATTACATGAAAACAAATGATATGTACAATGGCTTTCAAAAAACAATCGCTTTGCACTGTCCACACAAAGCTCATTGCTCGGCGTGTCACCCCAAAAGGCAAACACAGTTGAAACACAGTAGAAACACAGCTGAGTGCTACAGAGAAAGGGAAACGTCAGTGGGGGGAACAGGCTACTCAACCTGCGTGGCCAACAGGCATGGGGCGCCCCTTCATCTGCACACTCCACCCTACACCCTGGGAATGGTCTGCATCCTCCTGACTTCAGTCTTCTCCAGCTCTCGCCACGCTGACAGGGAAGCTTGTTCTGGCCACCAAGTCTGCGTGCCCCCGCACTTGTTTGCTTCAGACGTTTCTGGGGTCATACCCAGCTGTGCTCAGGGGGCTGTCTGTGGTGCTAGGGATTGGGAACCCAAACTTCATCTCCTGCTCCTGAAAGACGACGCCTCAGTTTATCCTTACCAGATGCTGTGAGCAGTCCGGTTTTTGTCTGGCCCATCTGGCAAATTCCTGCTTTTCTTTTCTTTCTTATAAACAGACTTAACAACTGTCCATCATGAAATCCTGCCCCAGCGCTCAGGCTCACAGGAAAACTAAGAAAACGGACAATACCTGAGGCCAATGAATAGCCAGAAAGACTCAGTTCAGCCAGACTACCAGGTAGATCCCCTGTAATACTTGTCAAAGGATAAGAAATGCAAAGGATCTTTACAAAGGCCTACACAAAACTGTCTTTTAACAGTCCTATACTAAGTTCCTCCCACATGGGGAGGTCCTTTTCTTTCTCTGATCCTTCCCAATAAACTTTTCTATTTTCCAGCTCGGAGTCTGAGCATCTTTATTAACTCAATATTTTCATTCTTAAAAAATACTGAAGAATTTGGACCAGAGTGATAATACAACGGGGAGGGCGTTTGCCTTGCACGTGGCCAAACACAGGTTTGATAACAGGCATCCCATATGGCCTCTGAGCAGCATCGCAAGGAGTAGCCCCGGAGCACTGCTGCGTATGACTCAAAAATGCAAAAAAGCAAAATAAACAAATAAAGCACTGAAGAACCTGGGAATGGGGAGAGAACAGAGAACCAACGCTGGCCTCTGTTCTGCATCTTCTGCATCACTCCACTTCCTGCCCCCCAGGCTCTCCCCAGCCTTCAAGCCGAGAGCTCCTCACCAGGGTCTCTGGGAGAGGCGGCAGAAGCTGGTGCCTGACTGAATCCCGGGCTCCACCACTTGAGCTTCACCCTTGGCGCCCCCCCCCACCTTTATTTTTCTTTTTGGGCCACAGCTGGCGATGCACAGGGGTTACTCCTGGCTCATGCACACAGGAACCAAATGGATGCTGGGGATCAAACCGGGGTCGGCTGTGTGCAAGGCAAACGCTCTACCCGCTGTGCTCTCGCCCCCCCCATTTCTTTTCTTTTTTTTTGCCCGCTGGGCAGAGTCTGGCAAGCTCCCTGTGTTGTATTCAATATGCCAAACACAGTAACAACAATTCTCACAATGGAGATGTTACTGGGCCCGCTCGAGCAAATCGATGAACTATGGGAGGACAGTGATACAGTGATAATTTTTATTAGTGAGACACCATGTGGTACAGTTGTAGACTTACACATTTTTGTGCTTGGGTTCGATTATACAATGATCAAACACCCATCCCTCCACCAGTGCCCATTTCCCCACCACCACAGATCCCAGTATCCCTCCCACCACCCATCCCCTCATCCCACACTGACTCGGTGGCAGGGCATTCCCTTTTGTTCTCTCTCTCCTTTTGGGTGTTGTGTTTTGCAAAAGAGGCAATGGGTGGCAATACTGTTTGGTCTATAGTCTACTTTCAGCATGCTTCTCCCACCCTGGGAGGGTCCTCCCAACACCCTTTATTTGGTGCTCTTTTCTCTATCTGAGCTTCCTTTTCACCGAGCACGTGTGGCTGGCCTTCAAGTCATGGAGCAAAATTCCTGGTACTAATCTCCGCCATTCCTGGGTGTTAGTCTCCCGTTTTGTTGCTTTATGTTCCCCACATGAATGCAATCTTTCTATGTCTGTACAGCTCTTTCTGACTCATTTCACTTAGCATGATACTCTCCATGTCTATCCATTTATAAGCAAAGTTTATGACTTCATCTCTCCTGACAGCTGCATAGTACTCCATTGTGTAGATGTACCAAAGTTTCTTCAACCGGTCATCTATTCTCGGGCACTCAGGGTTTTTCCAGACTCTGGTTATTGTGAAGAGTGCTGCAAGGAACAAACAAGTGCAGATGTCCCTTCGACTATACTTTTTTGCCTCTGGGATGTATTCCCAGGAGTGGGATTGCGGGGTCGCTTCATTTCTTAAACTCCACGCTGAACACTTTTGCAGGGGCCCCCAACAGTGCAGCCAAGAGCCTCACAGGGCTGATGCCGGCCTGACCCGTCATCACGTGGTGCCCCCACCCCCAGACTCCAGCGGGAACCAACCAAGCCCATCCGTTTCTTCTCCGCTCTCGCTTCTCTTTCGAGCAGTGGGGCTCGGTGGCAGCAGCAGGCGGAGATGGCGGAGACGGAGCCGCCGCTCTCCGCAGGGCCCCCCCACGTCTCCGACAGGAGGGACCCCCCACCAGCCCCCCCGTCGCCAGACGCGCAGACAACGCGCGCGAGAAACGCCCAGAACTGGGCACTCTGGCCCGTCCGGATCGACGCGCCGCCAGGCGGGCCCCCTGGAACAGGGCATTCTTCCCCTGGGCGGACACACAGGACTCACCGGACAGGAGGCGCCTCTGCTCGCGCGCGTGGGGCCCCCGCCAACGCCCCGGGCGTCCACGGGGCCCGGGGAGGCCATTCCGCGTCGCCGCGCCACACGCCTTTTCGCGCGCCTTTTCCGATGACCCCGCCCCTTCCGGTCGCGTCAAGGCCCGCCCCCACGCGGGGAACGCGCCTTCCGACCGGAAAACCGAGGGAGCTGCAGCGCGCATGCGCCGAGGTTGGGGGGGTGGGAAGAGCGGGGGGAGAGTGGGCGTTCCCTAGGCCCGCTCTCGCCTCGGGACGCGGTGGCGGCAGTCTCGCGGTGTTTGCTTTTCCCGCGGGAGTTTTTGAACGCGGCGGTGGTGGCGGTAGCCACGCCCCGAGCCAGCTCCACTCCGGGTTGCGGGGCGCTCGGCGGGGAACTGCGGAGACTTGGGCGCCGAGCGCTGACGGTCGCGGCCTCGCGGGCTCCCGGCGCCATGGGGGTGGAGAAGCGGCTGCTGACGATCCCCGAGGCCCTGCGGCTGGCGCAGCAGCCGCACCAGAACCAGGCGAAGCTGGTGGTGACGCTGAGCCGCACCTACGGCACGGTAAGCGCCGGCCCCCCAGGCGGCTCCTCCCGGGCTGCCCCCGGCTCCTCCTCGGCGCCCCTGCGAACCGTTCGAGCCTTCCGGACCCAGGTCGGAGAGCCCCAGGGACCCCCGCCTCACCCCGGGCTTGCCCGGCCTCCCCTCGCCCCAGGAGGTCGCGGGTGCGGACCGTTATCTGCGGTCGGCGGGGAGCCCGGGCGCGTCGGCTTCGCCAGGGGCCCCCCCGGCCCCGCCGCAACGGCCCTGCCCGCGCTCAGGTCGAAGCCGAACAACCCTTTCGAGGCTTGCTTGCAGCGCAGCTCGCCCAGGCACCCCCGAAGCGAGAGCTTGCCCCGAAGTCGATGCATGAACTTGGCCGTTCCGGAAGGCGTTGCCCTGAGGCGGGAGCTGGAGCAGGCGAGCTGCGGGGTCAGGTCAGGAGAAGACAAAAGGAGTCACGGTCGCTCTCCTGAAGGGGAGACTGACGAGGGACAATAAGAAGTTTCGCGTTTTTTTTTTTAGAAGGTTATTTTCCAGCTGGTTTTTCTGTCTGCATCCAAGCCCGCCGATAGGAACAACGGGCTGCGGTCCCAAAGGGGTGACTCGTTGCCTGCTCCAGGGGCTCCTGCTGTCCCCGCCCCCGCCCCCCCCTTCTGTGACAGTGCCACCTTCGCCGCACTTGCGAATTTGCCGAGCACCGGGATCGGGGCGCAGGTGGTGGAAACGGATTTTGCAGGTGCTTACGACAGTGCTTGGGGCATCAGGATGAGGTTGATCCTTAATGAGGGACCCGGGCGTCTGCTGTGAGGCGGTGCCTCTCGCCCAGCAGGACACCTGGCGGCAGCCAAGCCGCCTCCAAGTTCAGTGTTATTCTTTGTTTTGGTCTCCTGCGGTGAGTTGGTTGGGACCCCACAATAGTCTGGGTTTGTCAGAAAGAAGCTTGTTTTTAGCCACGCTGGTCCCAGGGGTCTTGGCAGTGACCGGAGCCCCTCTTCCACTCCCCAGACTGACTGTCGTGGAAGTGCGATTTCTCGTGCCCTTCGCTGCTGGGTGCTTTGCGCGAAAACGAGTTTGCTGCAGCCCGTTTGGGGTGATGACTTGCCAACGGCCGTCAGGTGTGGGGAAATCTGGACGCACATCTCGGACCGTGTGTTCGTGAAGGGTTTTTGTTTTTGTTGGCGTTTCAGGTGGAGAACAAGGCAGTGTTTCACGAGGAGTTCGTTCATTACCTGAAGTATGCCATGGTGGTCTATAGGCGGGAACCAGCTGTGGAGAGGGTGATGGATTTTGCAGCCAAGTTCGCTACTTCGTTTCACCAGGCTGGTGTGGAAGACGAGGAAGAGGAAGATGGAGACATTTTAAATTATTTGTTTAGCTTTCTCTTGAAGGTATTATGGAAACAAGAACTTTGTTCTGTTGTAGGAAATTTCACTGTGCACCAAGGGCCCTTGGAGTTTGTGTATTTTAGGGGAAAATATCGTTGAGAAAATTAGTGCATCAGTCTGCCTTTTAAAGGAGTTGCTACCACAGACATTTCTGGTTAAATTATTATTATTATTAATCTTAAATGTGTTTATTTACAAGTAATAAAGCATTGCATGTTAAATATTTTAAAAGCCAGTCTTTTAAAACGCATCTTTTAAAATATGTGAGTGATAGCACAGTGGTAGGGTGTTTGCCTGGCGCACAACTGGCCCAGCCGAGCCAGTTCGATTCCTCTGCTGCTCTCGGAAAGCCCAGCAAGCTACTGAGAGTATCTCATCCCCACGGCAGAGCCTGGCAAGCACCCTGTGGCATATTTGACATGCCAAACACAGTAACAAGTCTCACGAAGGAGACGTTACTGGGCCTGCTCGAGCAAATCGATGAATAACAGGAGGACAGTACTATTTTAAGTCACCTATGTAAAACATTTCTCATAGTTTTATTTATTTTTTTACTAAATTTCTTTATTAATGAATCACCGTGAGGTACAGTTACAGAATTACAATCTTTTGTGCTGCATTTCAGTCATACAATGGTCGAGTACCCATCCCTCCTCCAATGCTCATTTTCCACTACCAATGGACCCAGCATCCCTCCCAGATACATTTATTTTAAATGGATCTCTGTTTAGAATTCCTGCAAAGAGGAATATGTGTCTACAAATAATTATGTTTTGTTTTTTGGGGGCTATACCCTGTGATTCTCAGGCTCTGTACTCAGGAATCACTACTGGCACGGGGGCCACACCGGAAGCTGGGTATTGAACCTGGGTTGGCCTTGTGCAAGGCAAGCATCTTACCTGCTGTGCTATTGCTCCAGTCCCTGCACCTATAATTTAGTAATGTGTAGTTGTAGACTGTGATGTATGTTTAGTTTGTATATGGTCCAAGGTAGCATAGTTAAGTCGTGAGTTACTGTTAGAATCTCTTGAATCCTTTATTTTGGGGGGAGGGTGGCTGGTGATTTGGTCTATCCCTGGCAATGTTCAGGGCTTAATTCTGGTTCTGTGTCAGGGATCACTCCTGGTGAGGCTCTGGGCACCATATGTGGTATATTAGAGATCTAGACCACCCTACCCACAGTACTCAATCTCTTGAATCTTAAACAGAATAAATATTATCTGTGATTAGTTATTAATGGTATCTGCTGAATAAATTCTTATTTTGTTTCCTTATCAGTCACATGAAGCAAACAGCAATGCAGTTAGATTTAGAACGTGCCAGCTCATAAACAAGCTCTTGGGAAGTATGCCAGAAAATGCCCAGATTGATGATGACTTGTTTGATAAAATTAATGAAGCAATGCTTATTAGGCTGAAGGACAAAATTCCAAATGTGAGAATACAGGCAGTTCTGGCTCTTTCACGTCTTCAGGATCCCAAAGACGATGACTGCCCAGTGGCTAATGGTATGTGTAGCTTCCTAAATCTTTTTCAGTTTTGGTTATTTTGTTAAATTGTCATTAGACTAATATTTGGTTAGAAACCACATGCATTTGAAATTTTTCATGTAATTTTAAAGATATTCATTCAATTTAAAAAACAATACATTGTCAATACTTTTGAAGGCTTAGAGGGTTGTACTTTTTTTTCTTTTTTCATTTTTAGGCCACACCCAACTGAGTTCAGTGCTTACTCCTGGCTCTGTGCTAAGGCATCACTCTTGGCGGACTTGGGGAGCTACTTGGGGTGTTGGAAATTACACCTTGGTCGGCTGCCTACTAGCAAGTGCCCTACCCATTGCACTGTCTCTGGCTCCCATTTGAAGCCGTCTTATATCCCATATAACCCTCAAATTTATAATTATCCTGAATTAGGGGTTAATCTCTTGACTTTTTGTTTGCTTTTTGGGTATACCTGGTGCCCCTAGCAGTGTGCTGACCCCTTGTACAATGTTCAGGAGACCATGCAACGGCATTAGCAAAGGTCATTTGCATCCAGTGCATCTGCCAGTCCATTGAGCTGTGTCCCTTGGTCCTTTTGGAGGGATGTTGACGGAAAAAATGCTTTATTGTATTAGACTAAAAACATAGTGGCATCAGTTTAAAAGGTTTTATTTTTTTCTTTTTTTATGAATTTATTTATTGAATCACCATGAGAACAGTTACAAAGCTTTCAGGTTTAAGTCTTGGACATACAATGAAATACCTGTCCCTTCACCAGTGCCCGTTTTCCACCACCAAAAACCCCAGTATACCCCCATCACACAACCTCCCCCTACCTGTGGAACAGATGATTTCCACATTACTCTCTCTCTACTTCGATTACATTGAATATTTCAACACCAGACACACCATTATTATTTGGGATTTTACCCCAACACTCAGATCTGCCAAAAAGGTAACCGTATACAGTTTATTTTCTATTGCTGATTATGAATAACATGATGTCGTGTGGCCGCAGTAGTGGTTGCGTGATTTTGGAATTCCAAAATTTTAACAATTAAATCTGGAGGGATTCTGCCAAAACCTGCTGAGTTCCGAGCTTTGTTCCTGACTCTCTTGGATCATGGCCATTAAGCAGCTTGGTCAGGAGCCAGAGAGGCCATTTGTGGGCGGCGACTCAGAATCTCATAGGAGTGGGGAGAAAAGGGCCAGCTCCACCCCCATCCCGTGAGGCCCCTTGTGTCTTGTCACTGTGGACCCAATTCTGACTGTCCAATGACCTCAGGAGGATGGCGGCCACCGAGCCACCAAGGGGGAGCAGGTGGAGGGACAGCACCCCTTTCCCCCTGGGGTGGCCCAGTGCTGGTAACCTACTGCGGGGACCATACGCATTTCTGCCAAAAGCTGCTGGGTTCCAAGATTTGTTTGAGTCCCTGGGATCATGGCCTTTAAGCAGCTTGATCAGCAGCCAGAGAGGCCCTTTTTGGGCAGCGACTTGGGGTCTCGTTGGGGTGGGAAGGAAAACATAAAAGTATTTTAGAGTATCAAAATGTGTGCTCTCATGTGGCTTACTATATGTACATATATATATATTTATTTTTTTAAATTTTGGGCCATACCAGCTGTGCTCATGGCTTGGGGACCATATAGGAATCAGCCGTTAGTAAGGCAAGCACCCTACCTGCTGTATTACCACTTTAGTCCCTAAGAAGTGTTTCTTTAGTGTATTGATGTATTACTTTATTTTTAGCATATGCAGCTTTGATCGAAAATGATTTTAATCCAGAAGTTAGGCGGGCAGTATTATCATGTATTGCACCATCAGCAAAGACGTTGCAAAAAATTGTCGAACGCACCAAGGATGTGAAAGAGGCTGTGAGAAAGCTGGCTTACCAGGTAAATAAATAAATCTTTTAGGTAAATTTTTAAAAGATAACTCATATTTCGGACTAAGTGTATGGCTCAGTTGCCTTTGAAGCCCTGGACTTGATTCCCAGGACTGAAATAAAAAGGAAACAATGCAACAGAAGCCATATTCTTTAAAAAGCTTTTTACTTTTTGGTGGAGATGGAGGGGGAGCACCCAACTGTACTCAGGGTCACTCCTGAATCTGCACTAGGAATTAACTCCTGGTGGTGCTGGGGGACTCTATGGGATGCAAGTCAAGGCATGTTGTACTATCTTTCCAGGCCCTCCTTAAAATACCTTTTTTTTTTCTTTTTGGGTCACACCTGGCAATGCACAGGGGTTTCTCCTGGCTCTGCACTCAGGAATTACTCCTGGTGGTGCTCAGGGGACCATATGGGATGCCAGAGATTGAACCTGGGTCAGCCATGTGCAAGGCAAATGCCCTACTTGCTGTGCTATCGCTCCAGCCCCCCTCCTTAAAGCACTGTAGCAGTGTCTCCCGTTGCTCATTGATTTGCTCAGGCGGGCACCAGTAACGTCTCCATTGTGAGACTTGTTACTGTTTTTGGCATATTGAATACGTCATGGATAGCTTGCTAGGCTTTGCCATGCGGTTGGGATACTCTCAGTAGCTTGCCAGGCTCTCTGAGAGGGACAGAGGAATCGAACCTGGGTTGGCCATGTGCAAGGCAAACATCCTACCCACTGTGCTATTGCTTCAGCCCACCTTAAAATACTTACAAAAAGTTGATTTTTTTTTTTTTTAAATTTTTGGGTCACTCATGCTAGGATCAGGGACCATATGTGATGCTGGGATTGAACTCAGGCCGATTGTGTGCAAGGCAAGTGCCTTATCCACTGTACTATCACTCTGGCTGCTCTGAAAATACTTTTATTAACTTATTTAATTATAGATTTTTGTTGTTTTAGGGCCATACCTGGCAAATACTTTAAAGGTGCCAGAATGATAGTACAATGGGCCAGTCCAGGTTCAATCCCCAGTATCCATTATGGCTCCCCTGAGTCCTGCCAGGAGTGATTCCTGAGCATCACCAGGTGTGACCCAAACGCTTTAATAAAAAAAATCAAAACCCCAAAACCTTTTAAGAATACCTGGCACTAATATTTTCTTGAATTGGATCTTGTGGAGAGAATATAGGAAGTGTAAGTAAAGTCTTACTGCATTAAGTGTGCGGAGCTATTTGAGGGGCTTCTGGGTAATGATCTTCAGTGAAGGAGATACTATGAGTATGAACTGTATAGACTATGTTAAGTTTGATTACCGTCTTTATTTTTTCTTTTTAAGATTCTAGCTGAAAAGGTTCATATAAGAGCTCTGTCCATTGCTCAGAGAGTAATGCTTCTTCAGCAAGGTCTGAATGACAGATCAGGTAAAGGATGCATTTTTTAATTTTTTTAATAAGGGGCTAGCAGCAGTACTTGCTTAGGTCTCCAGCCCTGTGATGCTTGGAGCTGTACAATGAACTTGGCCTATGCAGAAGATTTTTTTGACTTTTCCTCTTTTATGGTTGGTTCTATAGCTTACGGTTATAGTTCTAATTTATGTCTAAAGTACAGTAGAATTTCTTTTTGGCCCTCTTTCCTCCATTAAATAAGATATTATGTGTTCTCTCTGAGTATATATTGATGTGGGTATGTTCTAGTCATCAGAAATAGCAGTTAGGAATGCTCAAACTAATATAATTTTTCTAGGGTCTGTTTTTATAAAAGAATATTTTTTTCCTTTTTTTTCCCTTTTTTTATAATTTAATTTATTGAATCACCATGAGAACAGTTACAAAACTTTCGGGTTTAAGTCTTGGACATACAATGAAACACCCGTCCCTTCACCAGTGCCCACCACCAAAACCCCCAGTATACCCCCCATCCCACAACCTCCCCCTACCTGTGGGACAGATGATTTCCACATTATTCTCGCTCTACTTTGATTACTGTCACTGGGCTGGAGCGATAGCACAGCGGGTAGGGCGCTCGCCTTACACGCGGCCAACATGGCCGACCCGAGTTCGATTCCTCCGCCCCTCTTGGAGAGCCCGGCAAGCTACCGAGAGTATTCGATATGCCAGACACAGTAACAACAAAGTCTCCGATGGAGACGTTACTGGGCCCGCTCGAGCAAATCGACGATCAACGGGAGGGCCTTTATCTTTATCTTTATTTACTTTGATTACATTGAATATTTCAACACCAGACCCACCATTATTTGGGATTTTACCCCAACACTCAGATCTGCCGAAAAGGCAACCATAGACAATTTGTTTTCTATTGCGGGTTATGAATAACATATGATGTCGTGTGGCTGCAGTAGTGGCCACCTGATTTTGGAATTCCGAAATTTTAACAATTAAATCTGGAGGGATTTTTGCCAAAACCTGCTGGGTTCCGAGATTTGTTCCTGACTCTCTTGGATCATGGCCATTAAGCAGCTTGGTCAGGAGCCAGAGAGGCCGTTCGTGGGCAGCGACTTGGGATCTCGTTGGGGTGGAGAGGGATGGGCCAGCTCCACCCCCATCCCATGAGGCCCCGCGTGTCTCGTCACTGTGGGCCCAATTCTGACTGTCCAATGACCTCAGGAGGATGGTGGCCACTAAGCCGCCAAGAGGGAGCAGATGGAGGGACGGCGCCCTTTACCCCTTGGTGTGGCCTGGTGACAGTAACCTACTTCAGGACCGGACGCATTTCTGCCAAAAGCTGCTGGGTTCCAAGATTTGTTTCTGAGTCTCTGGGATGATGGCCGTTAAGTAGCTTGATCAGCAGCCAGAGAGGCCGTTCGTGGGCGGCGACTCAGGATCTCGTTGGCGTGGGGAGGAAAGGGCCTTCTTCAGCCCCATTCGTAAAGTCCTGTGTGTCTCGTCACTGTGGGTCCAAACCTGACTGTCCAGTGGGCTCTGGAGGATGGCAGCCACCAAGCCACCAAGGGGGACCAGGTGGAGGGACAACCCCTTTCCCCCCTGGGGTGGTCCAGCACCAGTAACCCATTGCGGGGACCAGACACATCTCTGCCAAAAGCTGCTGGGTTCCGAGATTTGTCTCTGAGTCTCTGGGATCACAGCCATTAAGCAGTTCAATCAGGAAGCAGAGAGGCATTGCCTCCAGTTATATAGTTGAGCTGGAGGTGGTTTGTAGGTGTGTCTCCCACATACCTAACTTTTGGCCGTTTACTTTCTTGGTAAACTTTGCCCTAAGTTTTTGGGGTCTGGCCAAAGGCACAGCAGCAATTTTGGGGTATCTGGAAGTCTGATGGTGCCATCAGGCTGCTGATGCACTTGCCTCTCAGGTACAGATTGACTTGCTGGCAGCACCATAGCCCCATTAAAAGAATAATTTCTGTGATAAAATTAAAGAATGTACTTACTTGAATGATGAAGAGGTACATTCCACATTTTCAATTCTCATGAGAAGGCTAAGAAGAATCCATTTTGCTAGCATGAAAACTTGAGTTTAAAAACATTGTCAGGGGACTGGAGCAATAGCACAGCGGGTAGGGCATTTGCCTTGCACGTGGTCAACCTGGGTTTGATTCCCAGCATCTCATATGGTTCACTGAGCACCACCAGGGGTAATTCCTGAGTGCAGAGCCAGGAGTAACCCCTGGGTATCGCCAAGTGTGACCCCCCCCCAAAAAAAAATAAAAACATTGTCAGATGAGTACTCAGGATGACTTTAAGAACTAAAAATAAATTTGTTCACTGATAAAATTCACTGTTTGCAAATAGGAATCGTGTGTTATAGACAAACTCAGGAAACAAGTGCAATATTAAGTGTTATATAGTCTGGACTAGTACCTAAAGCCCATTAAACCTAAGGGAGAGGAGATGCAAAAATATTTTTGAAGTCCTGGATGGGTATTTAGTTCTTACCATTTACATTTTATTTGTAATTTGAGGATTACATTGACATTTGCAAAGTCATGATAATGTTTTTCTGCTTCTGCCCTTTAATCTCTTACCATATTTATATGGAAAATACAAAACTTTATGTTAACCTTGTTATGTTAGTGAAAAACAGATAAATTATAGGAAATGGAAGCTAGAGGGAGCCTCATGTTTCAAATGACTTACAGATACCGTGAAGCAAGCAACTCAAAAGCATCTTCTTCGAGGATGGCTAAATTTCACTGAAGGAAATATGTTGGAGTTGCTTCATCGGTTGGATGTAGAAAATTCTTCCGAAGTGGCAATTTCAGCTCTCCATGCATTATTTTCAGTGACGCCTCTTAATGAACTTGTAGAGATCTGTAAAAGTAATGATGGGAGGTATGTGAAAAGCATTTATAACAAATTTACTTTATATTGCTTATTCCAACAAAACTTTAAGAAAGGGCAAATAGAGTGATCAGAAAATATATCAGTAAGAGCTAATTTGTGATATGTTCAATATGTTTTTGGACCTATGTAAATAAAACTAAAACTACTTGATATAATAAGATGCGGATTCTCATTTACATATGTTTTCAACTCTGGAATCTAAAGTATATTACATTAAATTTTATACTTGAATTTCATTATGGTAATCATGTCTCACCTATCATTAATAAAACTTTTAAAGCAATTCTATATTGATAGAGAATTTTGGAATTTACATGGAATCGGTCACGGTCCTCCTGTTGTTCATCGATTTGCTCAAGCTGGCCCAGTAACGTCTCCTTCGTGAGACTTGTTACTGTGTTTGGCATATTGAATATGTCATGGGTAGCTTGCCAGGCTCTGCCGTGCGGGCGAGATACTCTCCGTAGCTTGCCGTGCTCTCCGAAAGGGATGGAATCGGTAAAAGTATGTAAATTTTTCCTGCACACTTTATATAAACGTTGTGGTTTATGAAGTTGTTCATGATGATTTGTAACAGGCTTTCAGTATTCCAACACCAATCCCACCACCATCACACCTTCCCTCCACCACTGATTCCGTTTTTCCCAATGGCACCTTAATCCTGCTCCCATAGCAGGCCCTCAGTAATTTATACCTAATAATTTTATACTGCTTGTTATCAATATTTTTTGCTAACAGAATGATCAAAAAATATTTACTTAGAAGAAAATTAGTGTAAGTTGTCTTCTATCTCACCATGGAGACATTAAATCCTTGTATTAGAGATTTTTAAGATGTTCTTACAGGTTAAGCCTTTTGTGTTTTTCTGTTTATGTTTTGTTAACTGAGACGGGTACTTTGTACGTTACATTCCATCTTATCTGCTGTGCTACTATTGGTTTATTAGTATTGTAGAGATTTAGATGTGGCACAGCAGCAGATGCAGTTGCATGCCCAGGAAGTCCAGAATTTTGAAGGGTGATATACCGATGGAGTTAAATTTGTAACTAGGTGGTGACTTTGGTGTGGGCGTAACTGTCAGGGCTTTCAGAGGTACTGGGAAGTTGGGGGTCAAGTAGCCCATCCCGACTCCGAGAAATACCTAGAGATTTCAGTCATAAAATCCGAATACCTGATTTTTTTTTCAACAGATTATTTTCTGGAGGGGGCTCAGTCCCCAAACAGTGGAGGGTGCCTAGGGGGCCAGGTTGGGATTGGGAGAGTAACTGGGGATGCTGGTAGAGGGAAGGTCACACTGGTGGTGTGGGAACACTGCTTGAAACAACTGCATAATGAATAACTTTTTTCACTAAATCACAGTGTTTTTAATAAAAATTAATTTTAAAAAAGGTATTTGTTTGTAATAGAATACCGTTGAATTGCTGCAATTATAATTAGTAGAGCCTTTGTTACTTCACTTCTCCTTTTGTCCGCCCCACCTTTGTTTTTCTTTAGTGGCTATCTTTTCACTTTCTCTGCTTTGTATAAGAATTCACAAATTTTCATCAACTCCTGTACCTGCAGTTGTTCTGTTTCATTTGTTTACTTTGATTTTTGCATTAGATTTGTGAAAATACATCTCATTTAACATGGATCCCTCATTTGACTATCTCAGTTTAAATATTTTCTTTTGTATGTGGATAAGTTAATGATTTTTGGTGTGGGGGGGGTCACACCCTGCAATGCTCAGGGGTTACTCCTGGCTCTGCACTCAGGAATTACTCCTGGTGCTACTCTGGGGACCATTTGGGATGCCGAGGATCGAACCTACGTTGACGCAAGCAAGGCAAACGCCCTACCTGCTGTACTATCACTCTGGCCCCAAGTTAATGATTTTTCAGTTGAAATTTGCTCAGTTGGAATTCCTGTGTATGCTAAGTTCGTACTTTCTCTTTTTCTCTCACATAAAAATGAAGGAAATTGATTTCACTGGAAGCATTAACTCCTGAAATTGCTTTGTATTGGCGTGTCCTATGTGAATATTTGAAATCAAAAGATGATGAAGGCGAAGAGTTTTTAGAGCAGATCTTGCCGGAGCCTGTTGTCTATGCGGAGTATTTGCTGAGGTAAAACTTTCTTTGCTCTGGACTACGCTCGCCTTGCTGCGTGTCCGCCCTTCAGCGCTCACCTTCTCCGTTAGACCTAACTGAGGTTAAGGAAAAAAACATTTGGGGGGACAGGTAGGATAAATGCACATCCGTTTTTAGTTTTTCTGAGGACTGCCCTGTGCTGGTTAGTATTCTGAGAGATCAAATGCCAGAGCATGTTTAAGGACAATTCCTTGAAGCTGTTAGGTAGGTGGAGGTGATGGCGATTTCTCCAGAAAGTTGACACTGGTAATGTGACGTTTGAAATGGAATTCAAACTCTCTGTAGGCCAGGAGAGATAGCCCGGGCTTCCGGCTCGGTGCCTCGGTCATGACTGATCCTGGTTTGATCCCCAATACCATGTGCATCATTGCCTCCCTGCATCACCGAATGCCACTCTGGAGGCCTTCGGCAGTGCCGGGGTGGTCTGGGACTCCCTGGCATTGCAGCGTCTGGCCAGGTCACCAGCGAGCTCACACAGGCTCCTGAGTGCCATCTGAGGCTCTTCTGTCCCACAGTAAATGTTTTCGTTTTGGGGCCATACTGTGTCAGAGTGGCTAATCTGCTGTGGCTGAACAAAAGCAGAGTCCATATATAATAACTGAAGTGTGACTGGTTTCTAATAAAATTTCATTGACTTTTATAAGTACTAAAATTTGACTTTTGATTTTTTTTTGACTTAATAAAGTTTTTTATTTTAAGGCAGCTCTGGCCAAGGACCCTCGAATCTTCAGCCTCTCAGACCCAACAGCAGGGGCGATGAGCTTACAGTTGGGGACTTCCTTGTGGAGCTTGTCGCAGATGGCTTTGTCAAACAAGACGAGGTTATTGAGCTTGTCCCGAACTTTGCCTTTGGACCACTTCTTCTTTTTCGCCTTGCCCCCACATTTGTTCACGGGGTCTTTGTCTTTCTTGGCCGACTTGCCGGCATCTTTCTTTTTCTTGTCGTCTTTGGGAGGCATTGTGAAGCTCGGAGGGCAGCAGCCGGTACCACAACCGCGCTACGATGTCGGACAAGAAGGATGACTTTTAATTTTTGAATTAAGTATGTTAACTAAGTTTTCAAATGTTCAAAACTTAGTTGTATAGCAACTGGCCGCAGACAGGAAATCATACACATGGACTCTTTTCCAATGGACTTGGTGGACTTCTGTGGCTAATTTTAGGGTTTTGTTTATTTTTATCTGGGGCCACACCCAGAGCTACCTAGCCTTACTCCCAGGTCTGCACTCAGGGATCACTCCTGGTGAGGATTGGCGGACCATATGGCAAGGTGCTGGTGATCGAATCAGGGTCGGCCATCCCCTATCTGCTATACTATCACTCTAGCTCTAATTTCAGTATTTTTAAAAATTGTTACTCTCTAGGTTTTTGCTTTAAAGAGTTAGTTTTTTAATATTTATTTTAATTAGAATGTTTATATAACTAATTTCTACTTAAAGTTAAATTAGACAAGTAAACATGAACATAGTTGTCATTTGAAATGTTTAAGTATATACTGAGGAGTGTATGAGACTTTCTTTTTGATGTCCTTGTTCCTCAATCCATTGGTTCCAGAATTCAAGTAAATTGTTTGGGGTGTAGACATTTAAACCTCTTTCTCTACAGTATACACACATCTACTAGTTAGAAAATGCAACTTCTTCTGGGGCCATAGAGATAGTATAGCAGGTAGGATGCTTGCCTTGCATGTGACTGACCCAGGTTTGATCCATGGCACCTCATGTGGTCCCCTGAGCCCACCAGGAGTGATTCTTGAATGTAGAAAGCATCACTAGCTGAGTCCACCAAACAAAAACAATCAAAAGGAAAATGTGACTCTTCAGTTACTGAAATTTGAGATAATTATGTTAGTGTATATAATTCTGGAACAGTATTAACAGCATGGCATTCCATGCTATCCTATACTGTTTGATTTATACCTCTGGATGAACATTTATTTCCCATCTTCACTGCTAATTATTTGTTAAATTCCTTGTACTCTTGAGATTTTATGGGATTTGCAAAAGTGGGGATTGTTAGGACAAAGGTTATATGTAGTTTAATAGATATCAGTGTTTAAATCTTTAATGTTACGCATTTGATACCTTTAAAAAATTCCATGTAATGTGGATTATGGGTTTAATTTTCTTTGAAAAATAAGAAGATCATTTGCTTCATAATAGACTCACATGTTAGGATGTAATGCTATGAGTGCATGTGAATTTTTCACACAAAATATTGAATGTAGGATTAAATATCTTAAGTGGCAATCAGTGTGAAAGTTATAATTTAGGTTTATAGTAAAACTATGAAAAACATGTTTATCTAACTAGTAATTGCTTTTTTAAAGTGGTGGTTCAGTGCAAGAGATTACACAGCCTATCTAGGTGGTACAGGGACCTCTAGACATGCATCTGGTGATGCTGGGAGAACCATGTGCCAGAGCTGGGCTCACCTGATCGGAGGTATGCTAGGACTGTGCGCTAACCACTGGACGTCCTGGCCCCTCTACTGTTTAAATAACATTTCATCCTTATTTGATTATTGATTTTAATGCTATTTAGACAATTGAGCTTGATGAACTATTTAATAATAGGTCATGGTCACGGTCCTCTGGTTATTCATTGATTTGCTCGAGCGGGCCCAGTAACGCCTCCATTGGAGACTTTTTTGTTACTGTGTCTGGCATATCGAATACGTCACGGGGAGCTTGCCAGGCTCTGCTGTGCGGGCGAGATACTCTCGGTAGCTTGCTGGGCTCTCCGAGAGGGGCGGAGGAATTGAACCCGGCTCGGCCGGGCCGGCTGCGCGCAAGGCAAACGCCCTACCACTGTGCTATCGCTCCATTAATACAAAAATAGTGCATTTTTATAAAAAGTAACCTACTGCAGTGGGTAGGGCATTTGCCTTATACACAGCAGACTTAGGTTTGATCCCTGGCACCACATGCGGCATGGTCCCTAGGAGCACAGAGCTAAGAGTAAACCCCAAGCACTCCCTGGTATGATCCAAACATTCTCCTCCACCTGTCCCCCCAAAAAAGATAAAAATTAAAATATGAGAAAATGTCAGGTTATTTTACAAAGAATGCATCTCCTCAACTACTGTTTCCTGGATTGGTAAATTCTTGGTTGCATCTAGAAGCTCATGATCTTTCTCTCCCGGGCAGTTCAGTGCTTGGGTTGGGTCCTTGCTGTGTGGGCCCGAGGCTGGGTTCTAGGCAGGCTTCCCTGGTGGTGCTTGGGGGAACAGGCAGTGCCTGGTGTTGAACTCTGCTAGCCTCATGGCCCTAAATAATTATGGAAGTAACAAATAGTAAATGACTTAAATCAGCATTTTTCCACTTATAAAGAGAAAAACTAAAAAATAAATCATAGTTACTGAAATAATGCAAGAGACAAGGTGATTTCTTCCCTTTTTTATGATATTTTGTTTCTTATCAGTTTCCACCCAGTGGTACTTTGCTAGTGTTGGTTTGTGCTGGGGGTCGCACGTGTTTCTCACGGACAGAGGTTGTGTACTTTGTCTCCCCAGCCCCTGATTTCCTCTTTGAAGCTGCATCAGTCAACAGAATTAGTTTGTTCAGGCCCAGAAACAAAATTAAATGGAAAAAAATATTTCCCGATGATTTCTGAACTACATTTTCAGACATTTTGTGGGAGAAAGAATTAGTGACCAGAAATCTGATATGAAACAATTCCTTGTCCACTGAGGTGTTCACATGAAGAGAGAAATAGACGATAAAAGAAACTTTTCAGATTTGAGTAAAAAAAAGGAACACCAACACAATTTGTAGAATACCTTATTATAAATTATTGGAAAAGGGCCAGCGATATATCGTGCAGGGGTTAAGACACTCGCCTTCCATCTTCTTCCTGGCTTTGAACCCCCTGCACTGCCTGTAGTCCCCTGAGCACCATCAGTGATCACTCCTGAACACAGAGCAGGAAGAGCCACTGAACACTGCAGGTCTCTCTTGACCCCAAACCAACAGAAACAAACAAGTTTTGGAGAGATTTTGTTTGATTTTCTTTTTGGCTTTCTGGATCACAGTTGGCGATGCTCAGGGGTTGCTCCTGGCTCTGCACTCAGGAATTACTCCTGGTGGTGCTCAGGGACCCAGGGATGGGATGCCAAGGGTCTAATCCCGGTTGGCCCCGTGCAAGGCAAATGCCCTCCCCTGTGCTATTGCTCTGGCCCCCTTTGGAGAGATGGAGAGACGAAAAGCTTTGTTAGAGGCTTTGATCATTATAATGAGCGTATATAAGTTATTGAAGATTAGCTGGTGTGAGGTTGTAGAAAACCTTAATTTGGGGAATAATAGAATAAAAGAGTAGTTGAGGGGCTAGAGTGATAGTACAGCAGGTAGGGCATTTGTCTTTCATGCAGCCCATCAGGTTCAATTCCTGGCATTCCAAATGGCCCCCCATTCCCCACCAGGACTAAGCCCTGAGCTGGGGTGGTCCCATAACAAACCCACCGGTCCACAAAAATAAAAAGTTGCAGTGCTTATGTTACTGTATGCATCTAAAGTAAAAACAGCACAAAAACTAATAGGGTCCCTAAGCAAGAATAATACAAATTTGTGAACCTGTTTATATTCTGATTTTTTAAAAAAGGTTTTTGTATTCATGGGTTACTTATGTAATTCTTATTCAATTTATTTGAAACAAAAGAATAGTGGGGAAGACTAGCTCTTTGAATAAATGGGTTTTGGATAAGGGGCTTACAACTTTGGTAATTGAAAATACCAGTGACTTGGAAATTAATCACTAATTGGAGGGGCATTAATATGTACATTTAAAATTTTTCCCTTAGGAAATTTGAATATTTAATGAAAAGACATTTTTTCAAATTCTTTTGATTCAATCCAATAAGTGAACTTCATTATAGTTGTAAGGGATTTGTTCTGTGTACCAAATTAGTATAACAGTGATAAACATCCATACATTTGGGCTACTACAAATTAAAAAGATTGTTGTCTGATTTAATAGGGAAACACTATGATATTACTTGGACAGATTTCACATTTAAAAAATTCTGCTTGTTTCAGTTATGTTCAGAGTATTCCGGTGGTTACTGATGAACAGAGAAGTGATTTTTCCTATATTGGAAATTTGATGACAAAAGAATTCATAGGTCAACAACTGATTCTAATTATCAAGTCTTTAGATACCAATGAGGAAGGAGGAAGGTATGTCTAAATATTCACTGTCACTGTCACTGTCCTTCGGTTGTTCATCAATTTGCTTGAGCGGGCCCAGTAACATTGTGAGACTTGTTACTGTGTTTGGCATATCGAATATGTCACGGGTAGCTTGCCAGGCTTTGCTGTGTGGGCGAGATACTCTCCGTAGCTTGTGGGGCTCTCCGAGAGGGGTGGAGGAATCAAACTCGGGTTGGCCATGTTGGCTGCGTGCAAGGCAGACGCCCTACCTGCTGTGCTATCGCTCCAACCCGTCTAAATATTAACTTTTTTAATTTACTTGTAGAATTTTCTGTATTGAAGTAATCTTGCTATAATATGATTAAAAGTTATATATTGTTGGTCAGTTTTCTAAAGTGCTGTAATTATTTTTCCTACATGTGTACAATATGCCTTTTGCATTTGTTTTTATAGTTTATATCTATATTACATAATATATGATTAGTCTTCAGAAGAGGTAAAATGATCAGATAACGTTTCTTTTTAAACTCACTAAATTTAAATTGAAATCATTCTTTTTGAATACAGAAAACGATTGCTGACTATTTTACAGGAGATTCTTACTCTACCCACAACCCCAATATCCCTGATTTCTTTTCTTGTTGAGAGGTTGCTCTGCATCGTTACAGATGATAGTAAGAGAACACAAATTGTAAGTAATTTTCCTTATCGTTGATAAATAGGAGGTTTTCATTACCGTGAGACTTTCTTTGGGGGACCTGTTTTTTAGTTGCCCTTTGTTTTAGTTTTGTGATTATCAAATCTTTGTTGTACCTTTCAACTCTCTCTTAGCACACTTACTGTGCTAAATCACATTGAAATGGAGTGGGTTTGGGAAAAGGTGATAGGTGGGCATTTGGGGTTAGGAACTGGCTCTAGTTTCAAACATACTTAGGCTTACATCTCCGCAGACATTTTATGGATTTTACTTTGGGTATGTCATTATTTTTCTTCGATGGCAGAATAAGAACAGTAAATAAGGCCCTCCCGTTGATTGTCGATTTGCTCGAGCGGGCCCAGTAACGTCTCCATTGGAGACTTTGTTGTTACTGTGTCTGGCATATCGAATACTCTCGGTAGCTTGCCGGGCTCTCCGAGAGGGGCGGAGGAATCGAACTCGGGTCGGCCATGTTGGCCGCTTGTAAGGCGAACGCCCTACCCGCTGTGCTATGTCATTCATAATTCAGTGAAGTAAATGTTTATAAAATGCTTGGCAATTGCTAAAATAAATGCTGTTATTAATATTATTTTAAATCTTGTTCTCAATAGTAGCCAAAAAAGGCAGGTTTTGTGTCATTACTTTTCATAAATTCTCAGAGTTACAAGTTAATTCAGACATTGCTTTGTTCAACTACTCTTTATATATCAATCTCTTCCCAGATTTTTAAAATCTTTACTAGGGTGCAACCTTTTCCGATATGCCCAACTCCAGTGTTCCAGCGGTCCTGAAGGAGTCTATTTCTGTTTTGTGTTTTGGGCCACACCTGGCGTACATAGAACTTACATCTAGCTCTGTGGTCAGGGATCGCTCCTGGCTGGTCTCAGGGAACCAAATGTGATGCCGGGGCTTATGCCTGAGTTAACTGTGGGCCCGACTTGAGCCCTACCGCTGTGCTTTCCCTCCAGCCTCTAATCTGTGTTTACTCTCTCATCATTTATTCATTCTGTTCCCAAAGGAAGAATAAAATTGTTATTTTCTTTTCTGCGCTTATTTTTTGTGGCAATCATGAGAGGGAATTGATGCTGCTAGTTTAGTGGTACCCAATCCCTACATTCAACTTCTCTGTTTTTAAGACATTCTAAGAGACGTCAGTTATCTTTTTTTCTGTTTTCCTGTTACCTTCCCGCAATTATATTAGTTAGATATGTTTTCTGGCCATTTTATTCTGATACTGTCTAGCGCAAAAAAAAAAAAAAGTGTTATTTTTCCTGGTAGATTTTTTTTTCAAGACATTTTGGAAACCTTGGAATTCTGTGTAGTAATTTGATGTCATTTTCTGATAAAGAACATATATTTTCTTGTACTCTGAAGTGTCTCTTCAATGATCTGAATAACTTCACTTACCAGATTACAGAAATTATCTCTGAGATTCGAGCTCCTATTGTTACTGTGGATGTGACTGATGTATGTGACACAAGAATGAATGAACTCAAGGTAAATATCTTGAATTAAATTCTCGTGTATGATGTTGTAGAAATCTGTTGCTACCTCTTGAGTAACATTTTCAAAACTCTTGTGAAGTAAAATCAGTAACTAGATATTAATTATATGTGTCTACTTATTGCTACCTACTTATGTCAGTCTGAAAGATTTGCCAGTTTTTGTTTTAGGAATACTAGTTTTATTTGCACAGTCATGCTTTGGTGAAATTGCAGGTTCATTTCTAGGCACTTCAGTGAAGATGGAATAAAATAAATCACACAAATTTTATAGTTTCCCAGTGCATATAAAAGTTCTCTCTGCAGTAAACTGCAGTTTAATGTGTCATAGTTATGTCTAAAGAAGCAATGTATATATCTTAATTAAAAGAATATTGCTGAAAGATGTCATCTTGGAACCTATAGCTGGTCATCATCTCTTTCTTTGCTTCCCTCCCTCCCTCCCTCCCTCCCTCCCTCCCTCCCTCCCTCCCTTCCTCTGCCCTTCCCTCCCTCCCTTCCTTCCTCTCTCCCTCCCTCCCTTCCTTCTTTCCTGAAGAGAGAGTAATGCATTTAAGAGAAAATGCAGATTTCCCTAGAGGGAGGAGAGCCATGGTCACAGTCTTTTCTGCCAAAAATCTTTCTAATTTATAAAAAAAAAAAGTGCTGTGAGTTTTAATAAAGCACAGTAAAAGGAGATATGCCTATATATTTTTTTTTTTATTAGTGAAACACCATGAGGTACAGTTGTAGATTTACAATTTTTTGTGCTTGGGTTTGATTATACAATGATCAGATACCCATCCCTCCACCAGTGCCCATTTTCCACCACCATGGATAATGTCCCCCCCCACCCCCATCCCCCCATCCCCCCCTGCCTCTGTGGCAGGGCAATCCCCTGTGTTCTCTCTCTCCTTTTGGGTGTTGTGGTCTGATATGCCTATATTTGTATGACTACATATTTACTGGTTGTTGAACTGTTAAGTCATGCTCATTAGTTAGCTACTGATACTAACATTTTTTTGGCTTGATATTTACATAATCATTTTGTAATTTTCCGTAGATGGCTGGACTAAAAGTTAAACTTATTGAGGCCAAAGAAGCTTTGGAAAGGTGTATCACCTTACAGGATTTTATTCGAGCATCAGAATTAAAAGAAGAAATAAAAGCTTTAGAAGATGCCAGAATAAATCTATTGAAAGAGACAGAGCAACCTGAAATTAAGGAAGTTCACATAGAGAAGGTCTATATAATTTTTTCATAATGTTTTAGCTGTTATTTTCTCACTTAAACCTTGTTTTCTTAACTCAGAAAGCTGCCAGATACGTTCCCTTTGGATAGAGTTATCAATAGTATCATGAATTAATAGGAAATGAAATTATTTACTCATTCTTTTCCTTTTGTTTTAGACTTTGAAAGTTTCACATTTTTTGGTTGCCAGGCATGGAACCTAGGGCATAATTAAGAGACACTTATGATCTATCACTGGGCTACATCTTACCTTCTTACTTAATTATGGTTAATGTGTTGACTTGAATTACTGTAATTAGAACTAGATTCGCTTTCTTGTTAGGCACATTCCTGGAATTGAAGTCTTTCTTCCTTGCCTTCCAGGGTATCTTTCGGGGGGCTGGTGTGTGTGTGCGCCTGTGGTGTGTTGTGTGTGTGTTTTTTTTTTCTTTTTTTCTTTTTTGGGGGCACATTCCTGGAATTGAAGTCTTTCTTCCTTGCCTTCCAGGGTTTCCTTAGGGTGTGTGTGTGTGTGTGTGTGTGTGTGTGTGTGTGTGTGTGTGTGTTTGTTTGTGTGTGTGGTGTGTTTAGTTTTGGTTTTTTGCTGTTTAATGATTTCAAAAAAGAAAATGCATCCTTTTTTTCTTATTTGTGAAAACTCTTCATCTTTCCACTATTAGGACAATAGTTTCTGTGGTAACCATATCATCACGCTTGTGTCTTTTAAAAGTTACTTTTGATTTTGGAAAACATGAACTAGCTTTGTTATTTGAAATACAATTTAGCAAATTTAAGCTTTGCTTCAGCATTCATCTTTAACTTAAATTTGGTGAACGTCTTATTTTAATGAAAGTGTTGTTAATTGGTCTAATCTTTAATTTAAGAGCTCTCTTACGAACTTGCTGTTTACAGTAAACCTTATTGTACTTTAGGTATGGTAAATGCTAAATTTGAACGTTGAGGGAATGTAGGAGCATTTTGTTGGTATGTCCTTGACATTTAGCTATTTACATTCCTACTCCTCGTCCCTCACATCTCATCGAGGATAGCTGAATTTTCTTTTCTTTTTTTGACAAAATCTATGCATTGTAGCTTATTTCTAGTAGTTTATTTCTTTTGTATCTGCTGTAGACTCTTGATTTAAAGTGGGCTGGAGCAATAGCATAGAGAGTAGGGCGTTTGCCTTGCACGCAGCCAACATGGCCGACCCGAGTTCGATTCCTCCGCCCCTCTTGGAGAGCCCGGCAAGCTACCGAGAGTATTCGATATGCCAAACACAGTAACAACAAAGTGAAAATACAAACTGAAAAGTGACAGTGGTTCTGAAATTGGGAAACTGGGGAAATATGAATACTGGTGGTATGTTATGATTAGTTTCTCTTTAACTTGTTTGACCATCTATATATTCATATTTTGTATTTTAGGGGTATGAATATATTGTAGTACAGTGTTAGCATAATGAGTGCTATAGTCAGGAAAATATAAGGGGCATAATAAAGCTACCTCTAGCTTTAGGAGGATTTTAATCTTCCCCAGACAAGAGAAATGTTTCAATTTGCAACTTAGCGTGGGGAGGGAGGCAGGAGGCTTAACTTCTAGTGGTTCCAATTTTGATGTCAGTGTCTTTTTTTTTATGGTAGTCATTGCTTCAAGTACTTCACAATCGTTATTTATTTTTTACTGTGACCCTATGAGGGTGGTGCTGTTAACCTTGTTTTTTTGTTGGCGCCCCCCCCCCCATCCCCCCAGCAGAGTTGAGGGCTTACTTCTGGCTTTTCACTCAGGGATCACTTCTGCCAGACTCGGGACCATATGTGGTGCTGGGGATCGAACCCAGGTTGACTGCATGCAAGGCATGTGCCCTACCTGCTATAATATCTCTTGCTCCTGTTGCCTTTGTTTTTTGAGGATAAACAACGTAACCGAAGTCAGACATATTTATATTTGAAACCTGCCTCTGTCATTGAAGGGGGCAGGTTTCACATTCAACTATCTTTACATTTATGCATTAAAGACTTCAATTCCATGAATTAATGATGCAGCTACATATGTGAAGGTCTAGAAGTTTGAGAGTGACTGGGTTTTTAAACATCAGGTTTATGGCCTGGAGAGAGCTCAGCAGATAATGTGCTTGTCTTGTCCTTGGTACCTGGATTTGATCCCTGGCCACCCCCAGATGGTCCTTAGAGCCCTGTCAGGAGTGATCCCTGAGTGAAGAGCGAGGAGTAAGCTTGGAGTACAGCTGGGTGTGGCCCCAAAATTAAAAAAGGAATCAGGTTCATGTTAGAGTTAGACTGGGGAGGTAGGAGGTACGTTAAGTATGAGGTTCTCTGAGGCCTTGTATTAGCATTTAAAATGTGTTCTGTACCCAGAAATCATGGTGAACTACTAAAGGGTTTTAAGTTGGAGGATCAGGTTCTTGTCATAGAACGATGACTATTAGGCGGGAAGTAGATGAACGCTCAGTCAGGTTTAGTTGTTAGAAGACTGTTAAAGTAATACAGGCCTAATGTGATGACAGCCCTGAGCAAGATGAAGGTGCCTGTGGGCATGGGAAGTGTTTGCAAACTAGCAACAAGGAGAAGTGGTGCCCTAGATCTTTATATTTGGCTACTAGGTAGATGGCAGATAAATTTCGATCACGATCACAACTATCCTGTTGTTCGTCGATTGCCTCGAGCAGGCCCCAGTAACGTCTCCTTCATCCGAGCCCTGAGATTTTTTAAAAAGTGCCACATTCAAGGCTCCTTCAGGGTTAGGAGAATGAGACCCATCATTGTTACTGGTATTTGGCATATTGGGTACGCCACGGGGAGTTTGCCAGACTCTGCCATGTGGGCAGGTTACATTCGGTAGCCTGCCAGGTTGTCCAAAGTAGGAATGAGATAATAGGATGTTGCACGGCCGCAAATGCGGCTGCATGCTTCTGGGAGCTAGGTTTTATAGTCTCTGAGTCTTGGCCATTGATGGGATTACATGGCGCCAGGGGGCCAGTTGGTAGGTGTGACCCCTGCTTATTGGAATTTGGAGGATCTGGGTGGAGGATGCTCAGCCCCAATCCGAGCAGGCTTGGCGATCTCAGCCCCAGGACCCGCATGCCTTTGTTCCTCTGCTGGTACCTTCATGCATGTGGAGAGTGGTCTCAGCATGGTGGTGGCTGGTTCTGGAGGTCTTCGGCTGCCAGAGCCCTGGTCGGGGCGGGAAGGGAAACTCAACCCGCTCCCCTCCAATGTATTGAGTTTGAACGCCCTGTTGGCTAGGACTTTGATGACCGCTTCAGTCTCAACAGAATCAAAGGCCTTCTTTAAATCAATGAACATTAGACAGAGCAGCATCTTGAACTCCCGAGAAACCTCAATGAGCTTGGTTATCGTGTGGATATGGTCGATGGTGCTGAATCCTTTGCGGAACCCGGCTTGCTCACATGGTTGTCCTTCATCTAGTGTTCTGCCAGTCCTATTCAGGATGACTCAAGGAAATAGCTTGTAGATGACAGACTACAGGCAGATCAGGTGATAGTTGCCAATGTCATGGATGTCTCCCTTCTTGAACAGTAGTACAGTCCTCCTGGTTTTCCATTTTGATGGAACCTTGCATTCAGACAGGTAGCGTGTGAAGAGCCGAGCCAGTGTATTGATGAGTATTGACGGCAGGTTCTTCAGGTGTTCGTGTCTGACCTTGTCTGGGCCGGTTGCTGTTTGCTTCTTTATCAACGAAATGGCATGTCGGATTTCAAAAGGTAGAACGTTGGGAACGACATATCCATCCTGTGCAATTTGGTATGTGGACAGGTGGAAGTGGCTATCGAAGAGATCTGAGTAGAAGTCACGCGTAATCTTCCCCATTGCCCTTCTGGAAGTTGTGATAGATCCATCAGGACGTCGGTTGGCAGTCATCTTGGTCTTGTAGTTGGCGAAGGACAGGCGGGTGTTGTGAATGCTTTTCCCGGCTTCTGCCACATCAGCCAGCACTGCTGCTCTTCTTTCTCTGAGGTCTTCCTTGATTGATTCTCTGCACTGTTTTGTGAGCTCGGAATTCGCTTTGCGGTTGCCTGAGACTCGCGCCAAGCCACGTTGGAGAATGAGCTCAAGAGTTTTTGAATCAGGCATCTTTTTGTGGCTATTTCTCGGCATTCCTTGCACAATCATGGAGGTGCTGAACCAGTCGATCATATTCTTCGTCAATGTTGTCAGCAATGGAATCTTCCCATTTTGCCGCAATAGTGCCAACAAGCTCCCAGTTGGTGGTGGTTCTAGGAGTTCTCTCCTAAACTTTGCAACCCTTTCTCCCTGCTCCGTGAAGTACAGTTTTGCACAAAGGAGATGGTGGTCCGATCTCGTTTGGAATTTTGGGACAACAGCGACATTGGTCAGGCAAAACCGTCGATTGAATATGATGAATTTTGTTGTGGAACCGTCCACTGGGAGACTCCCATGTCCAACGTTTATAATTATGTATAATAAATATGTTAAAATGTTATGCATTTAATATATATGGATGAATAGAACACATTTATAAATATATATGCTATCTATGAGTAAGGTCATCTGATTCTTGATTTTCTGCTTCTAAAATATGTGTTTTAGTATGAGACCTCCAATTTCTTACTCCTTGTAGCAAATAGACATCATCTTATAGTTGAGTAGTATTCTATCATTTTTATATACTACAACTCTATCTACTCATCTGTCGTTGGACTTCCATGGATTATTTCCATGTCTTGGGTATAGTAAACTGCTGCAGTGTACGTAGGTGTGTAATACTGAATATTTTGTGTTTGATTTTAGAATGATGCTGAAACACTACAGAAGTGCCTTATTTTGTGCTATGAACTCTTAAAGAAGATGTCTGCTTCAACAGGCATTGGTGCAACCATGAATGGCCTCATTGAATCTTTGGTATGCTGGTGACTTTGGAGCATTTATTTTTGCTCACTCCTTACTCCTTTGACTATGTTCTGTTCTGTAGGATTCAAAAGCATAAAAAGAAAATAATTTTTACATTTGCTAAATAAATGGCTAAAAAATATGTGTATGTAATACACATATAATGACTACATAGTATTGTGCGGACTAAATTAAGATAATGTACTTAAAAGGTAAAAGACTTGTTGGATATGATACTATGATTCCTTTAGAAAATTTTAAGATAATAAGCTGGGAAAAGATGGATTATTTTTAAGATGAATGTTTAGGTAATACAATTACAATAGTGTTTATGGGATTGTTATTGAAAACTTGCCCCTTTACCATCACCTAAGTGCTCAAAATCCTCCACCACTATCCTTTTGTCACTTCTAGCCTGCCTGAAAACATTTTTATTATGAGAATATTAAGAGAAAATACTAACGCACATCTGCTTTGTTTAATATAATAACACTAGTGCAGGTACCACCAGTGGCTCAACCTTGAATATGGGCTTAAAAAAAAAATACAGGCCAAATCAACGTGTTAAGGAATGTCCAGTAACCCTTCACATGCAGACACAATTGTACTGACCACAGGGGCATAAATATTGCAGAACTCTAGAGCAGTATTGTCTCATCCACAAGCCATATGTAATTTTGATATTGTGGTAGCTATGTTAAAAAATTTAAACGGAATTAATATAATTTTATTTTATTTTATTTAATAATTGATTGAATCACTGTGATTTACTCACAAATTTTTTAAATTTTATTTTCCTTTTTTTTATAATTTTTATTAGTGAAACACCATGAGGTACAGTTGTAGACTTACAAATTTTTGACTCAGAAAATTTTTAAGATTGATGTCCAAGGCTACAATGTTTGAGTACCAATTCTTCACTAGTGCCCACTTCCCTCCACTAGTGTTTCAGTTTCCTTCCTGTCCTCAGCCTACCTCTCTGGCAAGCACTTTTATTTTCCTTTTTTCCTTTTAGCACTGTGGTTTACAATACTGTTACTGAAAGTGTATCCTGCATTTCACTTTACCTCATTTCAGAATCCAGTCCTTCTCTAGAGTGGCCAGTTAGCTCTCTCATATCCCCCCACCCCACACAGTGCCAAACTTCCTACAAGGACCCATTTTCCTGTCCTTCATTTTTATTATCTTTGGGCATTAATTACGCCTTGTATTATGTTTCTTTATATCTTGCAGTTGAGCAAGATATTCTGTGTCTGTCTTTCTCCCTTTGACTCATTTTACTCAGCATGATACTTTATAGATCCATCCATTTAATAGCAAATTTCAAGATTTCATCTTGCTTAATGGCTGTGTAGTATTCCGTTGTATATGCACCATTGCTTCTTTATCCAGTCATCAGTTCTTGGGCACATGGTTTGCTTCCAGATTTTGGCTATTGTGAATAGTGTTGCAATAAACATAGGAGTGCAGATGTCTTTTCTACATTGTTTTTTTTGGGCCCATGGGATATATTTCCAGGAGTGCAATTGCTGGGTCCTATGGAAACTCAATTCCTAGTTCTTTGAGGAATGTCTTCCATAAAGGCTGTGTCAGTTGAAGTTCCCACTAGCTGTGTATGTGGGTCCCTTTTTTCCTGCATCCATGTAAACACTGCTTCTATTCTTTTTTGATAAGTGCTAGTCTCTGGTGTAAAGTTATATCTCATTGTTGTTTTGTTTTGCATTTCCTGTATTCTTGTTTTTTAAAAATTCAATTTTGTTATCCCCTTCACTTTATGTCAACACTATGATTTACAAAGTCGCTCATGATGATTTGTTATAGACATTCAATATGCCAACAGCAGTCCCACTACCACTGCACCTTCCCACCACCATTATCTCCAATTTTCCCAATCACCACTTACGCCCAGCCCTCATAGCAGGCTTCAATAATTTATACTACTTGTTACAAATAATTTGTTTAAAGAATGATCAAAAATGTTTCCTCAGAAGAAAGTTAGTGAAGATTGTTGTATCTCACTATGGAACCTTTAAGCCCTTATATTAGAGATTACTAAAATGTTGCTTCAGGTTAAGCCTTCTGTGTTTATGTTTTTTAATTGAGATTTGTTGCCTTCTACATTACATCCCATCCAATCTAGTGTGCTACTCCTGGTTTATCAGTGTTGTAGAGTTTGAGATGTTGCTCCAGGATATCCAAAAGTGTTTTTTCCTTTTGGGTCACACCCGGCAATGCACAGGGCCTACTCCTGGCTCATGCACTCAGGAATTACTCCTGGCGGCGCTCAGGGGACCATATGGGATGCTGGGGATTGAACCCAGGTCGGCCACATGCAAGGCTCTCCCCGCTGTGCTATTGCTCCAACCCCGATATCCAAAAGTTTTAAGGGGGTGATACAGCTGGAACTAAAATTTTAACTGGGTGGCGGCTTTGGGGCATGTGCATGACTGCCAGGGCTTCCAGAAGTACAGGGAGATGTGGGGAGGTAGTCCATTCCTGACTCCTTGAGAGTCCAGAGATTTCAGTCACAAGCCTGTATATCCGAGTTTTTCAACAGATGAATTTCTGCATCAGGCTTGTCTGAGCGGTGGAGCCGGGCCAGGAGCATTGTGGCGATTATGAAGTGTGGGAAGTTTTCAGGTGCCAGGGCTCTGGGCATACACTGGGCTCACAGCCCCCCGTCCTGGGTGCCTGGATGACTCAGCCTTGTGCAGGGTCCAAGAAGAAATTCTGCATCTTGTTGATCTCTTTTGAGATTTATTTATGAGTCTCTGCATCATGGCTGTTGAATGAGCTTACTTGGTGCAGAAAGTGGTTCCATTGTAATTCATTTTAATCTGTTTAACCCAATATGCCCCAAATTTTTAACCAGTAATTCATTACTCATTGGTCTTAGATTCCATCTTTTATGGGAAGTACTATAGTATAAGATAGATCAATCTGGACTATTTTCATTTCAAATGTTCAGTGATTACATGTAGTTGGTGGCTACCATATTATTGTGTCTTTTGGGTATTTTAATGGTCCCAGTCCTCCAAAGCAAGTTGTGAATGTATCCAAGCTCTTTCAGTTTTCTTCCAAAATTGTTTTTTCTTGGAATTAGTGAAAATCAACTGGTTAATGTAATCTAAAACCTAGTTCTTGGGGCCTGAGAGATATTACAGGGATTAAGGTGTTTGTCTTGAATGCACCAACCATGGCTTGGTGCCCAGCACTAGATATGAACCTGAGCACTATCAGGAATGATCCTTCAATATAGTCCTAGGAATAAGTCCTGAGCACTTCTAGGTGTGGTCCAAAAATCAGGGAGAAAAAACTAGTCTAGTCCTTGAATCATCAAAAGTTTCTACATATAGCAAAAGAGACCTATTTTGTTGACAATCTGGAACCGCCGACTAAACTATTTTCTAAACCACTAAAATTCAGTTTTATGGTAAGTTGGAAAGAGATTTTTAATAGATAATCTATTTATATACTTTATATTTGATCCTGTTGTAAGAGAATGGTAAATTATGATGTAATTATACAATTGTGTTAAATTTGAAGTATATATGTGTGTGTGTATGCATGTATATATATATATAGACAAAGATTGCCAGTGATTTTAACTATAAAAGGTAGTTTTTATCTAAAGATTGAGGTTATTGAGGAATTCAAATGAGTATTTGGATACAAGTATTAGAATATTTTTATGAAATTATGCTTGAGTAAAAATATTGAACAAATAATTTGGTGAACAAATATGGGATGCTAAGTGCCAGGAATAGATCGTAAAAATATATAAGTCCATAGGTCACCTTTAGGTCTGGCGAAGTGAGGATGTCAAGAAAATGAAAGCAAATGCCATTGGTTCTATGAAGAAGAGCTCTATGGTCATCTGTGAACCTGTAGTAGCAGGGTTTGCTATGTCAAAGGAGACCTGATATCGGATATCTGATATCAGGGATCTGATATCGGGGTAAACATTAGGTATGTGAAAAAGGGAGGGGACAGTGGTTGAACCCTGTCGTCTCCAGTGTGGCAGCTACCAGCCATACGTGACAGCTACAGACCAACCCTGAGGCTGGAAGCTCATGTGAGAGTTAACACACATGCTTGGCATGTGCAGGGTCCTAAGCTCTGTCCACAGGGTGGGGTCCCCGGAACACCCCCAGGCATGATTGAAACAAGACGAGTCCAGGCTGAGGTGTGCTTAACTCCCACCTGGGGGTTGACAAGTCAGTACAAACAACGGAATGCTAGTTGTCTCCAATTAGAAAAGACTGACTGCATGATGCAATGATATTTTGGTTATTGGGTAAAATGAAATCTATTGAAACGGTTTCACTAATTTAGTTACTAGAAAAATTTCACTTTTTTTTTCTGGGGCTTTTGCACATTTTCACTGGGGTCCCTGGCACAGATCTCTTTCCAGTTTACAGAGGTGAGATGCTCACAGATTCTTCAGCCACTCCAGGCTTTGGCCTTGAGGGTTCCGGGGGTGGCTGGACACTTCAGGCATGGGGTAGTTGTAGGGTGTGACTGGTTGATCATGGCAGCGTACTTGGTGGTAGGGCTGGGGAGGCCCGCTCTGGCGAAGGACACTGCCAGCACCGGCTTCTGGCCCATGCGTCCCCGAGGAAGGTGGAGCCCACGGCCTTCTTGGTGGCCACTGCTAGAAAATTGTCGGTGATCTATGTGGGTTGCCTGTGCTTTGAGCATTGAGGCAAGGTGTTGGAATAGAGCAGTGAACAGTGAGGGGGAGCGTGCGTTAGGAGCAGGCTGGGAAGGCTGTGCACTGAGGGTGTGCAGGGCGTGTGAAGGGTGCTAGCTTGCGTCTGTGAGCACTGGAAGCCTTCGGTCCGTTTCACTAGGCAGTCAAGTGTCTTGTGATTAGACCATGGGTCATGCTCTGCCTCTGTTCTACTGTCTCACTCAGCAGCCTGGTCTTCAGGCTTTTTTTTTTCCCCCAAATTGAAAATTGGCTTTTTGAGTAACTAGAAAATATGGAAATGAAGTAGATTTGCAAGTCACATAGACATGTTCACTTGACCTTATTTTTAAATATATTAATTGTCCTGCTCAAAATTATTTTAACTTCTAATTCATTTTAGATTCTTCCTGGGATAACAAATATTCATCCTGTCGTAAGAAATTTGGCTGTTTTATGTTTGGGATGCTGTGGACTACAGAACCAGGATTTTGCAAGTAAACACTTTGTATTACTATTACAGGTAGGTTTTACTTTATTTTATTTTTTAATTTTATTATTTTATTTTACTTTGTTTTTAACTTAAATAGACAAAAGATGAAATGTCAGTTATTTAAGTTACTTTACTATTTTCATTTTGAGGGGCCACACCTAGCTGTTTCAGTAGCTTCCTCCTGGCTCTGCTCATTGATAACCATGGGTCAGCAAACAGGGCTAGAAGGAACTTTCCTCACAGTACTCTGAGGTCAGACATGCAGCAAAGATGTTCACTTTCTTCACTACTATTCAAAAAAGCTTTCTATGAGACCATTACGTATTTCTTGCAGAGCTGATTTGGATTGGACAAATGTGTTAGATGATTCTTGTCTGGGAATATTTATATTCTTCCCTCAAATCTGAGGGAAAGTTCTCACCACAGGATCTAAACAAGGAAAAGAAATCAAAGGCATCGAAATAGGAAAATAAGTTCAACTGTCACTTATTTGCAGGTGACTTGATGTTCATAGGAGACCCTAAGAAGTAGAAACAAACCAATCATGTCAATCAGTGCATAAAAATTGCATTTCTAAATGGTGACCTAGAAGAGAAAGAATTAGAAAAGACAATCCCATATAAAAAAATGTTTTAGAACCTCAAATAACCTAGGAGTCAACTTAATAAAGACTTTGAGAAACGTTGTCATTAAAAGTTATATGTCACAGGGTTGGGATTATAGCACAGTGGGGAGAGTGTTTGCCTTGTACACAGCCAACCTGGGTTTGTTCCCCAGCATCCTGATCCCCCAAACACCACCAGGAATGACTCCTGAGCACAGATCCAGGAGTGACCCCTGAGCATTGCGGGGTGTGGCCCAGAAGCTTAAAAAAAAAAAGAAAGAAAATCATATGTCACGTTTGAAAGCAATGGGAGAAAATACCAGGAAATAATATTCTATGTGTACAAATTGGAGGAATTAATAAATCAAAGTGACCACACTACCCTAAAGCATTTTATCACTATCACAACCATCATCAACCGTTATTCATCGATTCGCTCAAGCGGGCGCCAGTAATGTCTCCATTCGTCCTAGCCCTGAGATTTTAGCAGCCTCTCTTTACTCATCCTTCCCAGTGGTGCCTCATTGGAAGCTCTTTTAGGATCAGGGGACTGAGACCCATTATTGTTACTGTATTTGGCATATCAAATATGCCACAGGGAGCTTGCCAGACTTTGTATAGTAGCATTGTATAGAAACAACGTAATTCGCATCAAAATTTTGATGAAATTCCTCAAGGACTTACATAAACGAATCAAATTTATATGGAATCATAATCCCCCCAAATTTCTAAAGGTATTCTGAGGGAAAATATGGGGTGGGAGGTATTGGATTTTCTGACTTTAAAATGTGCTGTGGCATTCAGTGATCAAAACAATATGGAACTGGAGTAAAAGAAAAGTTTATGATTGAACAGGACAATTTTTTTTAAAGGAATAAATAATACAGTTTAGTTTCCTATAGTTCTGGGGACATTTTTACTTTGGGGCCAGCCTGTTGTTCAGGGTCCTCAGGGGATCATAAACAGAACTGGGGTTGGCCATGTGCAGGACACTTAATGGGCTGTACACTTAAAGCTCAGGCTTTTTTTTTTTAACTCGGGAAATTTTTCTTTAAATGTTATGCTACAATTAAGTAAAAGTAATAACTTTAAAATGGGTGCTTTAATTATATTTCTGGAAAGTGTTTTATGTAGACTTGACAGTTGTTGACAATAGACAAAAAAATAGTGATTTTTTTTTTGTTTGTTTTTTTGTTTTTGGGCCATACTTGCCAGTACATAGGGTTTACTCTTGGCTCTGTGTTCAGAAATCACTCCTAGTGGTGCTTGGGGGATCATATGGGATGCCAGGGATCGAACCCTGGTCAGATGTGCACGGCAAATGCCCTAACTGCTGTACTATTGCTTTGTCCCCTAAAAAATTAACAATTTCATGTAACAAACAATTGAAAGTTTTGTTTGTTGGTTTTAGGTTTTGCAAATTGACGATGTGGCAGTGAAAATAAGTGCTTTAAAGGCAGTCTTTGACCAATTGATGACATATGGAATTGAACCGTTTAAAACTAAAAAAGTCAATACCCTTCAAAGTGAAGGTGAAGAAGTGAACAGTGACGAAGTAAAAGAATCAGAAGAAACCGAAGAAGAGAGTCTAACAGCCAAGAATGTGCTGAAGCTCCTTTGCGATTTCTTAGACAGTGAGGTAAGAAATTGCCTTTCATGAAATGTCATTTTCAGATTATATATGCTTATGCTTTTTATACTATCTACTTTAGTACTAAAGTTTAAGCTTGACCTTTTAAATATTTGCTTTTGAGTATCATAATTAAACTTTCACTTATGTGACTTTTTTCTTACCGAATTGCATATGAAGACAGCATAAAGAAATTAAAGGGGCTTAGCTGATGTTGCTGTTATTCTTCCATCGTTCTTGTTTTATGGATGTTCTTTCCCCAAAGGCGTTGCGAAGTAAAGAATAACTTTACGGTGGGTTGGCAAAACCCACTCATCTCATTCTTTTCATCTCATTCTTTTAAGGTGCCGTGGAACTACATATTTTGGAGGGAGGGACAGGGTGTGAGATCCAGCAGTGCTTAGGGCTTAACACCTGGCTCAGTGCTCAGAATCCGTCCTGGCAGAGCTCAGGGGACCATCCTGCGTGCCAGGGATTAAGCCGGGGTTGGCCACATGCAAGATAAATGCCCTGTCTGCTGTACTAATGCTCCAACTGCTGAACTACATTTTTATAGCATGTATAATTTACTTATAAGTGAATATTTTTTTCTTATGGGCCACACCCTCCTGTACACAGAGCTTATTCCTGCCTTTGCACTCCTGGTGGGCTTGGGGGACCATATGAGGTGCTGGGGACTGAACCTGAGTCAGCCGCATGCAAGGCAAGCACCCTACTATCGCTCCAGCCATGAGTATTTTTGGGTTTTTTTTTTGTTTTGTTTTTTTGCTTTTTCAGTATTTTGTTTATAGGTGATATCATGCAGTGTTAATCTTTTCTCTGGCTATTTCATTTAACATAATACCCTCAAGGTCTATCCATATTGCACTTCATAGCATTTACTTTTTTCTCATGAAAATATGTCTGCATGTCCATCATGTAGACATATATTTTACCCTTTCCTTGGGCTATATACTCACATTAAACTGCTAGATCATGCGGCACTTCTGTTACTTCCTTGCGCAGTCTTCATGCTGATTTGCATCGTGAATTTGCTTTCTGTGTACCGACTTACATTCTCTTCTCTCTCAGGACGCAAGGGTAGCCTTTCACTGCATCCTCACTAACCTTGTCTTTGTTGAAAGCCATTCTAGTAGAAATAGCGATGGTGGTTTTGATTTGCATCTCCCTGATGATTAGTGTATTGAGTACCTTTCATATCACTTGTCGGCCATTCGTATGTCTTTGGAAACAGTTACTTCCTCTTGTGCATTTTATTGTTGTTTGGGGGCCACACCTGGTGGTGCTGGTGCTCAGAATTTGCTCTCGGCTCTATGCTCTGGGATCACTTCTGGCTGTGATTGGGGAACTCCATGGGCTGCCAGAGATGGAAACCAATAGGCCACTTGCAAGGCAAGTTCCCTGCCCACGTTGCTGCCTCTCTAGCCCCTCACAGATCTTCTTTTACCTGCTGGCAGCCGGTTTTCTCTCAGACCATTACTTGGTACATTCATTTCCCATTGAATTATTCTGGTACCGTTCTCTGGATTTATTTCTGGACTCCCAGTTCTATACTGTTGTGCTTATCTGTTTGGCCCTAGGTGCTGCTGAGGTGCTGCGATGCAGGGTCACTTTGGTGGCGCTTGGGAGTCTCCAGGGATATACCCTATGTCCTATATTAGCCATTGAGTTGGGGTCAGTGCGTGCAAGGCCTGGCCCTTCACCTTTTCACAGTCTTCGGCAGACTGTTTTTGTTTGTGTAACTTTGTGTTAAATTTTGAAATTGGGGAACTGAGTTCTTCCATTTTATTTTTCATTTTCAGTATTATTTTGACTATTTGGAGCTACCTTGTAACTCTTCCTGATTTTGAGGATTTTTCCTCTCCCTTCTTTTCTCCCTTTCCTTTGTCTTGTTTTGGGCCACACCCAGTGGTGCTCAGGGATCACTCCTGAGAGCGGGTCTCAGGGCCACATGTGGTGCCAGCTATTGAACCTGGGTTGACTGCATGCAAGGCAAGTGCCCTACCCCCTGGATTCTCTCTAGCCTGGCTTTTCCATTTTTACCAAGAATACCCAAAGTAAATTGGAATGCTGATGAAAGATTGCTTTTCATATGTGTAGGAACAGGAGTTGCTTTATATGGCTTCAGCAGTCAGGTTGTGGATTGCATGTGTGGGCTCCTGAGTCTGACCCTTAGCACCTCATGCTCCACAGAATTCTGCTGGTGTAGCCCATCAAGTCCCAAACTTCAGAGCTTTCCTTTTTCGCCAGTAGGTGGGGCTGTGGCCTTATTCTTAGGTCCATAAGGGCAGGCTCATGGAGCAGCTGCCACTGTGTCTGTGGGGAGGACAGGGAGGGAGCGGCCAAAGGGGGTCAGCTGCCGTCCTGGACAGTTTTGAAGTCTGGGTGTCGTGCTCCTCCGTTACTTGGTCTCTGGCTGCCTAAATGTGTGCCTTGGCTGTCCACCTACCTTCATCGTATGTACAGGCCCCTGTGGTGGTGGCAGGAGCGGGGCCTGCAGTGGGAGGGCTTTCTCTCTTGCCCCTCTCACTGGACCCTCTCTTGTCTTTCTGCCCCACACCCCCATTGTTGTCAGGGTCAGACCCCAGTGATGGGGTGTGGGCGTGGTTGGTCCTCCGGGCTCTGGCTTGGAGTCCCTCTTGGCAGTGCTGACCTGATCTGACCAAGGCTGCCGGTGCTCAGCCCTTTGAGCCCTCCCTCTGGCTTAGAACTTAATTTGGGGACCACCTGGACCCCTGTCCCCCTACTGTCACTGCATTTCCCTCTCCCAAATCCTGGTTGGCCGACAGCTCTGCTGTGTTTGTACCCTCTCCCGCTTAGGGAGCCCCCACAACACCCACTTTCCAACATCCTTGAATCTCTCCACTGTCCTGGGAGTGATTAGCAGAGCAGTCTTTAATCTTTGCTTCTCTGTAGTTGAATTATTAGTTATCAGTTTATTCATTTATTTTGGTCTGGGGCCACAATCAGCAGTGCTCAGGGCTTACTTTTGAGTCTGAGCTCAGGATAACTCCTGTTGGTCAGCCATATGGGGTGCCAGAGATCAAACCCGGGTCACCTGCATGCAAGGCAAGCACCCTACCTGCTGTAGTAGCTGTCTGGCCCCATACTGGAATAAGTTTAACTGGAGAATTACCTTAACTTGACATGCTGAACTCAGTCATCCCTTAACAGTGACTCAATACATTTCTGTGCCCGAATGAAAGAAAGAAGCCTATTCTTATTAATATGTATATATATATGATAAATATTTAAAATCATTTATTTTTATAAAGTTGTTCGTGATGATTTGTTACATTAAATATTCCAACTCCAATCCCATCTCCATTACACCTTCCCACCACAATTATTCCCAATTTTCCAGACCACTACTCAAGCTTGCCCCAGTAGCAGGCCCTAAATGATTTATTTTATATTGCTTGTTATGAATAATTAGCTAAAAATGATCAAAAAAGTTTTCCTTAGAAGAAAATGTGTGAAAATTGTTGTTTCTCTCTGGAGCCTTAAGCCCTTGTATAAGAGATGACTAACATGTTGTTACCAGTTGAGCCTTGTGTGTTATTTTCTTAATCGAGCTTGGTTTCCTTCTGCTTTACATGCCATCCAATGTGGTGTGCTACTCCTTGTATAACAGTGGTGTGGTCTAGGAGATGTCACTCCAGGAATTCTGAAAATTCGAATGGGGTGATGCAGCTGGATTTAAATTTTTAATTGCATGGTGTCTTTGGGGTCCTGAGGCCTCTCTTGTTTGCTGATCTCTATCGAGATTTATTTATGAGTCTCTGGGTCATGGCTGGCTAGTGAGCTTCTTTGGCGCCAGCCAGAGGCAGTTTGTGGATGTGACTGCCAGGCTCCCAGAAAAACGGGGATGGAGGGAAGTAGCCCATCTCCCATTCCTGTGAGAGTTTGGAGATTTTGGCAACAAAACCCGCATACCCGAGTTTTTCAACAGATTCCTTCCTGGATGAAGCTTGTCCCCAGCCTGTGGAGTCTGGCCGAGAGTAAAAAAAAAAGGTAAAGGCCCTCCCGTTGTTCATCAATTTGCTCGAGCGGGCCCAGTAACGTCTCTATTGGAGACTTTGTTGTTACTGTGTCTGGCATATCGAATACGTCACGGGGAGCTTGCCAGGCTCTGCCGTGCGGGCGAGATACTCTCAGTAGCTTGCCAGGCTCTCTGAGAGGGGCGGAGGAATCGAACTCGGGTCGGCCATGTTGGCTGTGTGCAAGGCAAACGCCCTACCACTGTGCTATCGCTCCAGCCCCGTATGGCAGCAAGTGGAGTGTGGAGGTTTTTGGTTGCTGGGACTCTGTTTGGGCTGCTGGTGCGCTCACCCATGCCTTTCCGGGGTGCCCTGGATGAGACTCAGCTTGGTACAGGGTCCAGAAACATCTCTCCAGTTACATTTTTAAGTGTCAATGTGTTAAATTCCCTAATCCAAAAGGCAGAAAAATAGGATGGATTGATGAAAACTAGGTCACAGTCTGTCATATTTATAAGAAACTCACTTTTGATCCAAGGACATAATTTAGTAACCAAAAGAGTAGTTGTCTGTCCTAGCAGAGAGACATGTTGAGTTATTAGCGTAGATAACCTGTTTCTGTTCGGGCATTGTGCAGTGGTGTTGCTTATGCTGCATATGTAAGGGAACTATTGCATAGAAAAGCTGTTAGACATGACATGGATGAAATTTGTTTGGGACCTTTTTTTTAAATGTCAATAGTATGTTAATTTTTAGGACAGTAGAGAGAAGGGCCAGGAGGATGGCTCTGCCGTTTGGAAGGCTGCCTCATGTGCTGGGGGAGAAGGCAGTTGGGATGGGGAAGGGACCACTAAGTCAATGATGGTTGGAGGCATCGCTCAGGTTGGAAGGTGTGTGCTAAGTAGACTAAGGACCAAACATGATGACCTCTGAGTATCTGTACTGCAAACCGTGATGCCCCCAAGTACAGAGAGAGTAAGAAGGAAAGTGCTTTCCACAGAGGCAGGGGGTAGGATGGGGTGGGGGTGGCAGGAGGGATACTGGGGACACTGGTGGTGGAAAATGCACACTGGTGGAGGGATGGGTGTTGGATCATTGTTAATACTGAAACTCAATCACGAAAGCTCTGTAACTATAGCACACGGTGATTCAATTAACAAATTAAAATTAATAAAAAGTATGCTAATTTTTATATGTTAATTTTTAACTAAAGTAGATTCTGTTACTTGGATTTGATTTTTTAATTTTTCTTCTGGGCCCGCATCCCATGATGCCGAGGAGTTTACTCCTGGTTTTGCACTAAGGGATTACCCCTGGCATGCTTGGAGGACCACATGGGATGTCGGGGATCAAGCCCAGGTTGGCTCTGTGCTAGGCAAATGCCCGACCTGCTTCACTATCGCTCTAAGCCCAGACTTAATTTTTTAATGACCACAAAAACCAAAACTTTGGCCATCAGTAACAGTCGTTTACTAGCTTAAAAAAAAAAATTGCTCTTCGGTCCCCGCCGAAGTTCCCGCCATTCCACATTCAAAGGATCGCTCTGCATTGTGTGGCAGGTCGACAGGCTCTGAGGGAGGGTGGCTGCGCGGCCTAGGGACTTCTGGGGGGCTGTGCTCTGCTTGTGGGGCTTTGAAAGGTTTTCACTCTCTCTGGCTCGTCTCACTCTGGAAACGCGGCTGCTGATGGCCGGTTCGAGGGCCGGTTGGAGGGCTGGTTCTTTGGTTCAGTCATGACTTTGGGTCGAGGGCCGGTTATGTGCCAGTCACTGGAGTTCCGGAGCGGAAGTGCTGAGTTCACGAAGTCTGTCCCCACGGCTGTGTTGGTGTGTGCAAAGCACGTGCCCATGCGGGCCTCCACAGTTGTTTATCTTAGTACTTTGTTTTTTTTCTGGGGCTGGGAAATTTTTGGGAAATACTTTATTCATTTATCCACTGTTTTCACCTATCCCCTCGTTTATTTATTCATATTTAATTTTTTAATCACGATCACGATCATCCTGTTGTTCGTCGATTGCCTCGAGCAGGCACCGGTAACATCTCCTTTGTTCTAGCCCTGAAATTTTATAGTGCCATATTCAAGGCTCTTTCAGGGTTAGGAAAATGAGACCCATCATTGTTACTGGTGTTTGGCATATTGGGTACGCCACGGGGAGTTTGCCAGACTCTGCCATGCGGGCAGACTGCACTTGGTAGCCTGCCAGGTTGTTGAAAGCAGGAATGAGATAATAAGGTGTCCTGCTTCCAGGAGCTGGGTTTTATAGTCTCTGGGTCTTGGCCGTTGATAGGATTACACGGCGCTGGGGGTGGGGGGGGTGGGGGGGGTGTGACCCCTGCCTTTAATTTTTTAATAGCATTGTTTATTTTTTTGCTTTTTTGGGTCACACCCAGTGATGTTCAGGGGTTATTCCTGACTCTGCACTGAGGAATTACTCATGGCGATGCTTGGGGGACCATATGGGATGCTGGGGATCGAACCCAGGTCGGCTGCGTGCAAGGCAAACGCCCTACCCACTGTGCTGCTGCTCCGGCCCAGTCCCCCGCGTTTAGACTTACTTTTTATTCCTAGAATGACAAGCTGTTGCTTTTCTAGGTTTTTCATTAACACTCTCAAAAACTTATATTGGCTCCCTCTTCTGCGTCACTCTGTTGGAATTTCTGTACCTAATTGGCTTGGTCCATGCAGTCTGGTTGTAAGTAATATGTAGTCAGTGACTTGTGTCCAGTGTTTACCTGTGGCTAGCACTCCTCAGAGCCTTGCATGTGTTTTTCCATCTCTGATTCCTGTATAAGGATCTTCATTCTCCCCCACTCCCTCTCTTCTTAAATAAGAAAGTGAGGCACAAAGAAGCTAGGTGTAATATATGTTGCAGGTATGTACAGAGGCTTGATATAACTCAGACTCAGGAGCCACTGTTTTCACCTGTCTTTTTTTTTGTTGTTGTTAACTTCTGTCTGTTGGAAGACCACTGTATCCTTGGTCCATTTTCTTTTCTGGTTTTTTTGGTTATGCACTAGGAATTCTTTTTCACTCATCTACCTTAGGAGCAATAGCACAGCGTGTAGGGCGTTTGCCTTGCACGCGGCTGACCTGGGTTTGATTCCTCCGTCCCTCTCGGAGAGCCCGGCAAGCTACCAAAAGTATCCCGCCCGCACGGCAGAGCCTGGCAAGCTCCCCGTGGTGTATTCGGTATGCCAAAAACAGTAACAAGTTTCACAGTGGAGATGTTACTGGTACCCGCTCGAGCAAATCGATGAACAACGGGAGGACAGTGGTACAGTGATGCACCTTTTATTTATATTTACCTTTTATTCATTATACTTGTGTACTGTCATTTTCACTTTTGGAGCTTTCACTTATAGACACATTCATCTCATGGTAAGGTCTATTACTGAGCGTTTTCTGTGACAGCCTGTGTAGCATTTAATATGTATTGTCTTGATCTCTGAGTTCACGATAGTTAATAGGCATCTTGCATCTTGAATTGTAAGAGAATGGAAGAGTCATAGCTAGGTTCATGACTTCATTTAGTTGTAACCTATAAGGCAGCAGTTAGGTCTTTTTAAGTACCTTAAATTTATTAATGTAAGCGACTTTTGTATCGTTCGTATAAAAGTATTCCTAGGATTGGCTGCATTGTCCTGCTTAAAAGAGAAGTATAATGGAAAGCTTCTCCTAATGAAAGTCACTTTGCTTAGGTGTCTGAACTCAAGACAGGAGCTGCGGAAGGCCTCGCCAAGCTGATGTGCTCGGGACTCCTGGTCAGCAGCAGGATTCTTTCCAGTCTGATCTTGTTGTGGTACAACCCCATGACCGAAGAGGATGTGCAGCTTCGACACTGCCTGGGTGTCTTCTTCCCCGTGTTCGCTTACGCAAGCAGGTATTTCAGTCGCCAGCAAATCAGATGAAAGGCTCATAGGTTGGATCTGAAATATCGTTTTGACATTGAAGCTCTTTTTCTTCAGATCCTGTCGACCTGAGTTTGGTTCTTCTATAGATAACTAGTACTATGCCTTGAGGGAATGAATTTTGTACAGAAATATTTTAAGTCATGCTCTTCCCCATATGCTTTGGAATTATTTTTCATCAGGACAAATCAGGAGTGCTTTGAAGAAGCCTTTCTTCCAACTCTGCAGACATTGGCCAATGCCCCTGCATCTTCTCCTTTAGCCGAAATAGACATCACTAACGTTGCTGAATTGCTTGTAGACTTGACAAGACCAAGTGGGTTAAATCCCCAGGCTCAGAACTCGCAGGACTATCAGGTGGGTCGGTGTGGCAGGCACGGATAGGAAGCAAGTCACTCTTGTCTTTCTCCTTGATTTCTGCCCCTTTCCCCCTTCTCCTGCCCTCCCCTCTCCCCTCTCTCTCCCTCCCTTCTACTCCTCCTCTCCCTTTCTTCTGGTTACAAGAGACTGGAGAGAGGGAAGAAAAGGGAGTTGCTGTTTCTGTTCTGTGTGACCGTCTCTGAGGCGTCACTCACACTTGGGGTCCCCGGTGCCCTGTCATAGTCCTTGAAATGGAAGCTGTGTATTGGCTTGAGATTTCTGTTTTGCACAGTGACACAGAACACAAAGTGAAAATGGTATCTTTGGGCAAATGTGTAGATAATACATACAAGTGGAAGTCATAAGTGCTGTCATTAGAACCCTTTCTTTTGTTGCGAGTGCTGTGTCCAGGGCCACCCTGCCCAGCTGGTGGGCTGGATTGCAGAGCCTCATCTTCCCAGCCTCCTCCCACCTCACATTGTTGTTTTCTTTGATTCGGGGCCACACTCAGCTGTGCTCAGGGCTTACTCCTGGCTCTGCACTCAGGGATCAATCCTGGCAGTGCTGAGGAGGGAGTGGTGGTTACCATATGGGATGTTTGGGGATTGAACCCATGTCAGCTGTGTGCAAGGCACATGCCTTCCCCGCTGTTCCATTGCTCTGGCCTCATTGCTCACATCTTTGCTGTTGAAGTTACCCAACAATCATTACCACACCCCTCCTCCCCACTTGCACTACTGATTATTCTGAAGAATGATGTTCTGTGGGACTCACTGAGTCTTGAACTCTTTGCTTACCTGCTGTGTTCCATCATGATGCAAGGATGGAGAAACCAAAGATTGTAACTGGTGTCAAGCTTGTTTCATTTTTAAGCAAAGAAGATAAATTAACTAAAACTGTCCTATAGATTTGACTTGATAAAGAATTTTGAATATCTTGATAGACTTGATCACATTTCTCACCATATTAAATACTCATATATTACTAATTTCAGATGCCTGTTGAAAGTCTTTTTCTTCTACTTTGCATTTAGTGAATGCATGCTCCCATTCAAGTCACAGTATTCACATGTTATTGGAAAGAGAAGATCACAAAGGATGTTAAAGCAAAATATGCATTTCAATGATTATAATTGCTGAATGCTTTATAAATTTTTCTTTTTTTTTTCTTTTTTTTTTTTTTCTTTTTGGGTCACACCCGGCGATGCACAGGGGTTACTCCTGGCTCTGCACTCAGGAGTTACTCCTGGCGGTGCTCAGGGGACCATATGGGATGCTGGGAATCGAACCCGGGTTTGCCGCGTGCAAGGCAAACACCCTACCCGCTGTGCTATCTCTCCAGCCCCATGTTTTATGATTTTTGATAAGTTATACTGGAGACTTACGGAAAGATCATTCTAAGGAGACTGAATGGGACAACCCTAGCACAGGGAATGTGGAGTTGGCCCGCTCTGAAGTAAGACTGGGTAAATAGTTTAAGGGGGTTAGAAAAGCTAATAGGATGGGTGTCATTTATTAGGAAGAACAATTTGCGGGCCAGATGATGTGAACTCGGAGAGGAAAAGAGAGTATCAGTAAAAACAGTCGTTAAAAAAAAATCTGTGTCTGGGAGATGAAGCTTGTAGAAAAGAGTAGTGGAAAGTAATCATGGACAAGATCAGAAACTCCCTTGTAAGAATCCCGGGAGAGTGGCCGAGCGGCCTGTGCAGTGAGGGGCGGGGGAACAGGAGGCGCTGCTGCACTCTAGTTCCCTAGTCCTCTGCAGTTGTGATGGGCTGGGTCCTCAGACACGGGTGCGGGCCACTGCGTATGGAAGTGGTGTGGCTTGGGCCAGGGCCCGCTGTCTTCAGCCTGGGTCAGTTCCGCAACAGGAATCTCTTCGGCTGAAACCCAGCAGCAGAAGAGCCTCAGTCAGTAGCAGGGCGAAGGCATTCTGCATTTGGCTTCACAGCAAGATATTTGGAAATGTTTGTGACATTTGCATCAATGTCCCAGACTATACTGTAACTATACTGTTCTCTCAGTTTACAAAGAATTTCTCATCTCCCCCCCTCCCCCTTTTTTTTTCCAAGGCCTTAACAGTTCATGACAACTTGGCTATGAAAATTTGCAATGAGATCTTAACTTGTCCAGGTTCTCCAGAAATTCGGGTTTATTTGAAAGCCCTGAGTTCTTTGGAACTGAGCAGCAATGTCGCTAAAGATCTTTTGGTCCTGCTGGACGAGATTCTGGAGGTAAAGCTGTTCTGGTTGCTCTGTTTGCTTATTTTTGGGCTATACCACCGGTGCTCAGGGATCGCTCCTGATGTGCTCAGGAGACCGACCATACGGGGTGCCAGGGATTGAACCCGGGTTAGCTGCATGCGAGGCAAATGCCCTTGTGCTGGACTATCACTCTGGCCCCCTGATTACTCTTAGGGTACTTCAGTATATATGGGGGGACAACACCCATATATGGGAATAGGTCCACATCTTCATCCAAGTAGAATTTACAAAGCTGTATTAAATGATACATGTTAGTAGACTGCTCTGTTCATGTAATGTACATTTTTTTTTTCATCAAATCTTAGGTTTAGGATGTTTTTTAAAGCAGCTTGATATCAGTATATGACTTTCCTGGGGTATGAGAAAATGATTTTTAACAAAATATTAAAATTCCTTCTATTACAGCAAGTAAATGACAGGACATCTCTGAGAGCTTTGGAGAAAATCAAGAGTAAGTTAGAGAAAGGAAATAAAGAACCTGGTGACCAGACTGTCATAGCCCAGTCTGCCGACATGACTGTGCCCGTTTCTCAGGAAGGAGACGGTAAGAACACAGGACCTGAGAGTCTGTCCCTGCCATCTTGTTTTCTCTCCTGGTGTGGTGGGATTTCAGAAACTAAAGAGAAATGTAACTAGCAGTGCCTTGGGGAAGTGTCACTGAGCAGCGGGTCCACATTCAGAGTCCGTCTGTGCCTCTTCCCCACGGGATGGCCCTGCGCACTGTCTCGGCTTTTGTTTCCAGTCTTTGCATGGGCTTGGTTGTGATTTCTGTTTCATGAGAAATTGACTTGGGAAGATCTTTGAAATATCTGATGAGGCTTTTTTTATTTCTTCAGTAGACGAGAGCGAAGACGTGTATGTAACTCCGCTGAGGAGCACTCGGGCGGCCAGGACAGCACAGTCTGCTCAGCAGAAGACAAACCGAGGTAGGGGGGCTTGGCTGCCTTGACAGAATGTCAGCTTGCCTGCCCAGTGAAATACTTTGCTAATTTCTATGTTATCACAGTCAAGATTTTTAAATGTTTGGGTGTCTTTAACTTGGCAGCTAGCAGGTTTTGCTTTATGTCGGAAAGCATTGCTCCCGAGATAGTGCCAGTCACTTCCGGCAGAGCTCACATGCAAGATGGGGGCCGCTCGTGGTGGGCTTGGGTGTCAGGGCTACACCTGCGGGTGCTATGGGGAAGGGAGAAGGGGAAGAGGGATGGAACTTGGGGTGTCATGTGCTGCCTCTTCTACAATTTCCCTGGCCCCCAGTTGCTGTTGATTGAAAGAGACATGGTACAAAAGATCATTGCAAAGGAGGTTTTGGGTTAAATCAAGATACTCGTTTTCTGATGATCAATGGTGACTTTATGTTATCATGGTGTGTCCTGTCCTTTATGTGATAAATTATTTTTGTCCCATCCATTCCCCTAGTATTTTTCTTTTTTCCTACTTTATTTCCCCCAACATAATTTATTTCCTGGGCTGGAGCGATAGCACAGCGGGTAGGGCGTTTGCTTTGCACGCAGCCAACATGGCCGACCTGAGTTCGATTCCTTCGCCCAGGCGGCAAAGCCTGGCAAGCTCCCCGTGACGTATTTGATATGCCAAACACAGTAACAACAAAGTCTCAAAATGGAGCCGTTACTGGGCCCGCTTGAGAAAATCGATGAACAACGGGAGGACAGTGACAGTGACAGAATTTATTTCCCAAGGGATATCCAACAATAGAGGATTTGTTGGAATAAAGTAAATGTTCACTAATAAGGGATCACTTGGAAAAAAATTGAAATTCAGGATAGTTTCATTGTTTTATTATTTCCTCATTACAAAAGCAATGCATGCTTACTACAGAAGAATCAGAAAATACAGTCAAGCAAACTAATATAAAAAAGACTCATAAACCCACCCAGGAGCCAACCATTATTTTAATCCTTGAAAAATATTTTTGAGGTCCTTTTTATGCAAAGTTTCCTAAATGGAATTTGGCCTGTGCTTTGTAGCTAATCAATTATTTAAATGCTAATTACTGGGTATTGTTCCAAATTAGTCCCATATTGTTGGATGTTTTCTTGGGGATAACTGTATTAGAAGTTTAAAAACAAATAAGGTCAGAAAAAAACAAGTCTCATAAATAAGTAGGGTATATAATTTTTAACCAATAGTCATGCTGAATAATTTGGTTTCGATCATATTGTGCTTGGTCAGATAATCCATGGGAACGTCATGCTTTTAAAGAAAATACCTCAAAATGCACTTATATTTGCTACATATTAGAAGAGTATCAAGGGCCATGATTTTCATATAAATTTCTATCAAGAAGCTGTTTTACAACCCAGCATGTTGTTAGTGCCTTAATTCTCATACTGAAATTTATTTAGATCACATATTTAACTGGTCGTGTATATGCTTGACCCTTTTACAAGAAGCTATTACCTCACTGATTAAAGTTGTATTTCTTAAGCATCATCTGTTTATGGACTTAACCTGTATTTCTCCCTTAATTTTCATTGGACAAACACTCCTGTGCTATAGCTAAATAGAGGAACCCTAAATATTTGCAATGTGTTTTTGTACATGTTTCCTTCCCCCAAATATTGAAAATATGCCTTCTCATTAATGTTCTCTAGCTTATTATCAGAGCTCAGGTTCCCTTTCTCCAAGGGTTTGTATTTGGAACACCAGGGGCTGGGATCTAGGAAGGAAGAAATATGTCAAAGAAGGGAAATGGATTTGGGAAATTTTGAAGCCAGTAGCAGTTGATAATAAGTCACACTTTTTTAAGGACGCAGAAAAGCAACAGCTTCGGCCCGGACAAACAGGCGACGTCAGATTGCCGAGACCGACTCTGAGAGGTAGGCCAGGCATGCTTAGAGGAGTTAGTGGGTACCACCTGATGCCTGTTGAGGAGTGTCTTGAAAAGGGGAGAGAGTTGCACTTGAAAAGAGAGAAACTCTATAATAACTATAATCTAGAATTCTGTTACCAAGAGCATTTGACTTCCTATTGCTTGTGCGTTTTTCATGGCCTTCAGTTGCTGGTAGACATCATTAGGAGTTTTTTCAGATTGTTTCCTTTTGTTCTAAATTACATGATCTTGTGTGATTTTAAAGAAGCAAGATTCTTTGAGATTTAGATTTGAGTTCTCCACATTTACAGTGATAGAATGAGCCTATTTATAATCGGAACATATGAGGGGATATACAACGTTTATTTTTTCAATTAAGCCACTGTTGGAGCTGAACATTGGTAGCTAGATTGGTAAGAGCTTAGTGTGTATATGCTCACATAACTTTTAGTACATACCTTCAAGCTCGACTAATTTTAAAGTATTCTGGAGACATTTGCTACCTATAGTGCTTTAAGAACCTGTGACCTAAATCAGGAGAACATACTTGTTTTGCACTTCTTGAATTCCCAGAAACTGTTTTGGAAGTGTAACAGCTCCTGTTAATTACAAGCATCATTATAAAGACTTTGCTTTTGTTTTCCAGGTTTTATATGGACATCTAAAAAAGCTTTAAGCTACGCTTTCTATTTTGGTTTTTGTTTAGTTTTAGTTTTAAGCCTACTTAATAAAACCAGGATATTGTCATACAGATAGAATAATAGAAACCAAAAAGTTTTATTATAAATAAACTGTTTTTAAAGCTTGTTTTTAAATTGTTATTTTCAATGTCTGTTTAGTGATAATGAAGTTCCAGAACCGGAATCTAAAATGAAGATGAGATTACCAAGAAGAGCCAAATTAGCAGCACTAGAAAAAAGTAGGCTTGACTTTTCTTAACATCTCAAAGAAGATCTAAGTTAGGAGAAGAGATGATGGAGGTGGGGTCCTTTCAAAAATACCCTTCAACAATATGTTTATTCTTTTCTTTAATAAAGCTACCCTTATGTTAAAATCAAGTTTGGTTTTTATTTTTATTTTATTTTTTTGCTTTTTGTGTCACACCTGGCAATGCACAGGGGTTACTCCTGGCTCTGCACTCAGAAATCACTCCTGGCGGTGCTCAGGGGACCATATGGGATGCTGGGAATCGAACCTGGATCGGCTGTGTGCAAGGCAAACACCCTACCGGCTGTGCTATCTCTCCAGCCCTGTTAAAATCAAGTTTGATGTCGTATAGGATTTTCTGTCTTGCATGCATCCATGAGCCTTTGGTCTTCAGTGAAGCAATAGGAAGCTTGTGCCCTGTGGTCCACAGGTGGGAGCTGCACCTGACCCAGAGCTGAGAATCTGATTTCAGCAGGCTCCCGGTTCTGCTTGCTGGAGACCGTGGCGTCAGGGTCAGCTTTGAATAGGTAGTAGCTTGTATTTGAGACACTTAGGACCGACTTGGGGCAGACCCAAGGGAAATGAAAGTACCTCAGAACACCTTTGGAAAATGACATGCCAAGGCAAAAGAAGTACTGCCAACTGGATAGAAAGTTTACTTTTAGGGGAGGGGAAAAACTAGTCTACTGAACCAAAGTACCCAGTTTCCAAGTTCAGTTAAAACTTTTGAAAATTATTTTGTGTGTTGGGGAGATGTTCACCTACTCATACTAATCATGGAGTAGCTTCTTATGTTTTTGGTATAACCAAATATTTATTGTGAATGATAAAAATACTTAGTGGGGAAAGACTGACAAGGAAGTTCTCTATCTACTCTATCATAATTAACTTATGATTACTATTCACGGTTGTTTTCATTTATTTCTGTAACTGGCACTTGCCTGATATTTGAAACTTAAGAAAGCCAGCCTTCTTATTGTTTTGCTTTTTTGGCCACACCAGAAGTGCTCAGGGCTTATTCCTGCCTCTGAGCTCAGTGATCACTCCTGGTAAGACTCGGCCACCATACTGGACACTGGGGATTGAACCCAGGTCAGCTCCCTGCAAGGCAAGCACCCTACCTGCTGTACACGCTATCTCACCAGCCCAGAAATCATTCTATCCACCTGCAATACCCAAGAAAACAACACCTTTCTTATTTCTCTGATTATATCTTTTTTCCTTTTATTACTCAGAATAGGAGTACCCTAACATTGGATTATTTTAATAATTGTGCTTTGTTAGGTATATTTACCATATAGCTATAAGATGGAGCTAAAGTAACATTGTGCTTTTTAGAACCAAATTGCTATATTTCACACGTGTAAGTGCTTTAGAAGACTCAAAAGTACAAAAGGAGTCTGAAGTTTACAAATAATGCTTATTAAGCAAAAGGAACAGGCAAATATGGTTGTAATATAAAACAATATAAATAGATGATTGTTTCACATTTGTTGGCTCTGTGTCTTTTTCCTGTGCTTCAAATACCTTGTGGTTTTTTGTTTTTCTTTTTTTTAATTAAGTCCCTGTTCTTTAAAATTTGGGAGGAAAAAGGGGTAGGGAGAAATGAGGATTTTAAAAATACACCCAAACATGTGTTATTAGGAAAAGTCTTTAGAAAGAAATTAAATCTTATTTACCTCACAGCTAGGCTCTCCAAAGGAAGGAACGTGGTCTTACGTTCATATATGGACCCCAGTACCAAAGCTTCTTTTCTCTGGCATGGAAAAAAATAAATTTAAGCACCAAATCTTCCGGCATTCTTACTATTCAAGTGTTAGACACAAACACATAAGTTGTTGCTGACGCTATGTTTTGTCCTATTAAAGATAAGGAATATTACCCTCTTGATTTTAAGAGACATCCCTTGACACTTCAAAATAAATGGCTAAAATACAGTAAAACCAGTCGATGTGAATTCATTTCCCGTTTTTCATTTATATGGTAACTTAAACCAAACTGTTCGTGTCTGCCAGAGGCGCAGGTTTGCGGGACAGTAAACATGCAACGGTTGTGCCACTGCTCTTAATACCCACACACTTCAATGTTTAAAGGTACAGAAGAACTAACCAGCTCAGATTCTGAATGGAAACATGCTATTGATAGACTACGATCAGCATTTTCTATACATATATAACTTTGAAAGAGAAACTTTCAAGAGATACCTTTGCCTTTTGCCAAACTGCTTCGAGGTAGTTGGTATCCACCAATGTATACCTGTTTTTGGGTCAGGCCATCACCACAAATCTTTACAATTACTAGCCTTCTAAATCACAGGATGTGTTAATGTTAAAGCTGTGCACAGAAATAAAACTGGGGACAATTATGTATTTAAACTTGGGTCATAAAAATTCACAAACCATTAAAAAACATCAAAATGCGTTTGTACTGCAAAATTCCACAATGGTTGGATGCAAAATATTTTTTAAAAAAAGAATATAATTAATGCAAATGACTGGATATAAAGACAAATCACGGGACTAGAAATATTTCAAGGTCAAGCAAATGCTTATTGTTCAGAAAGAATATTGACGTCCAAAACAAGGGTAGTGCAAGAAGATCTGCGATCTATTTCTCTTCGCTTTTGAGATTTTGGTTATGAAGTGTACAGCTCGCTAGAGACGCTGCTGCCAGGCTCCATTCAATGGGACGGTTAAGGCACATCTTAATGGGGCTCAAAGGGCAACTTGCTGTGTTTCCATCAGCCAAATTCAGCTGCTCATCAGTTTTCATTTGTAGCACGCTGGAAAAAAAAAGTGTAAAGCACTTTAGTTTTATTTGAACTTCAAAGACATCAGCCTTGTAAAGACAAAGTTGAAGAATTTCTTGTTTGGCAACAAGAGCACCCCTCATCCTGTTTTCGCTGCTCTCTTACTGAACTGAGTATGTGGTAAGCCAGGTGCTTGTGGGATCACCACTGGGTAAAAACCTTCACTGCAGATACAGATTCCAACGGGATATGTCAGAAGTCAGCCCACTACACTTGGCAAGATTTAACCCCTTTATCCTTTAATTCGGTGTTTCTCGACCTTTGTCCGACTGTGGCCCCCTTCTGATTTTGTCTTCCTCTGGCTCCCCGTTCTACTGGTCAGGCCTCTTAGTCTTACGCTGTAGCCCCCCTGGGAACCTGGCTAAAAGATACAAACATGGCTTTAACTCACCAAAAGACAAGGATTAATCTTTTTCAATGCATTCACGTCCTAGGTATATTCATACACAGTCACTGAGATTTCATAACCAGGCAAAGTGGGTAGACTCCAAAAAGCATGAAAGCAAATTTGAACTGAGTATAAACAGGCCCAAAGTTGTTCATCTCCAACCTGAAATTAGCTTTTGCCCTTTCCCTTATATTTCCTTATAAGCTCTGTTGAAGCTGATAAGACCAGGAGAAACATTTGTCTTCGTGGACGTGCTAACGTATCTGTATTTCACATTGGCCATCCCATCAGAACACATGTGGCATCCCTTCCATAGTATTTTCACTATTCTGGTTGCCTATTTGGATTTTGTATTGATGGAAAAGTTTGACTGGGTTTGTATTAAATTGGTCAATCTTCTATTCAGTGTTACTCCTTTTGTTCTGGCTGGATGGCTAACGTGGGTTTCTAGAAGAGTCTCCCTGAGCATAGTCCCGGCTGCTCTTGAATTTTGCTCCTACCTAAGGAAACTGTTACCTCTGCTTTCTTCAGAGCCTGGTCCTAGGCCCATGGCATCTCTAAACACTTGTTTAGATTCTGGGTTCTTCACTATTGTTTCGGGTCTGATAGTTCCTTCAATAGTTGGAGGATGTTATTATTTTTTTTTTTATCTCCAGAGAGAAACAAAGTATACAGAATTGTTCAATAAATGTTATGAATATTTGCAAATGTGCAGAATTAGACTCTTGGGTTAGAGTGCTTTGTGAATCCCAAGAAGAACTAGAGTGCTACAGGCAATTCGAAGTCAAGTCATATCTTTATGTGAATCCTTAACTGGCAACTTGCTATACATAAGTTCACGTGACACTTAACCAAATAATTGAGATAGGTCCATTCTCCCTAAGCTTTCTCCAACAGATCTATGATTCTCAAAATGATGAAACAGCTGTCTAAATTTGGGGGGTGGGTGAAAGGACCCACAGTCTGCAGTGTTCAGGAGTGCTCCTTGGAGACCAATGCATGGGGGACCAATGTACTGCCAGGGATTGAACAGGCTTGGCTGTAGTCTTACCCCATGTGCTATCTTCTCTGCCCTAGCTAACATTTAAGTGACTTGTTAAGAGTCGTGGTAAGTGACAATAACATTCAGATTTAAGTATTATTCTGATCTCCCCACAACTTCAGCCAACAGACTCACACTATCCAGTAAGAGATTAACTTGTCACAGCAAGCTTTTAATAGTCAACACTGAGGTAAACATCCAACTGTATTAAATGGCAGGGTTTCAAATTTTATAGAACTAAAGAATCAAGGCCAGGAGAGAGAGCTTGAGGAAGCTGGAGCCCCTGCTTCAATCCTTGGTACAACATGGTCCCCAAAGCATTTGGCTCCAGTATCCCCCGAGGATACTGTTACAGGTGGCTCTAAGACCAGAGCAAAAACTGAAATACCAAACCACGGTAGTAGAAGACATCAAACGTTGTTAGTCACTTTGATTTAAAAAAAAGTTAAAATCCTCTCCACAGCCATCCCCAAATTTGATTGATTGGACTATAATTAAAGTCATGGCTTGACATATGACAAATAGACCCAACATGCAACATTCTCATCAGAAGTATCAACTGAATTAAAAAAAATTGCTTACTATTATTCGCCTCGTTTGTTTGACAAGGTTTTGTTTTGATTTTTTAAGCCAGCAAAGCTGAGATGAGGCTTTTTTTAAAGTTTGCTCCCTCCAAGGACTACTGGTGTTTGTATATTTAGTACTTGTATTTTGAGGTTGAGTTTCCCTCCCTGCCCTGACCAGGGCTCTGGCAGCCGAAGACCTCCAGAACCAGCCACCACCATGCTGAAACCACTCTCCACATGCATGAAGGTACCAGCAGAGGAACAAAGGCATGCGGGTCCTGGGGCTGAGATCGCCAAGCCTGCTCGGATCGGGGCTGAGC